TCACCCGGTCCCTGCGTTGGGGGTCCCTGACTTCCCGCAGCAGTACTTGAGCTTCTTACTTTTTATACTTCTGTATACATCAAAAAATAAGTGTTTTGGCCAGGCACGGTGGCTCACGCCTATAATCCCAGCACTTTCTGAGGCCGAGACAGGCAGATCACGAGGTCAAGGAGATCAAGACCATCCTGGCTAACATGGTGAAACCCTGCCTCTACTAAAAATACAAAAATTAGCTGGGTGTGGTGGCACACACCTGTAGTCCCAGCTACTCAGGAGGCTGAAGCAGGAGAATCCCTTGAACCGGGGAGGCGGAGGTTGCAGTGAGCGGAGATCATGCCACTGCACTCCAGCCTGGGCAACAGAGCAAGACTCCATCTCAAAAAAAGAAAAAAAAAAAGGCCGGGCACGGTGGCGCAAGCCTGTAATCCCGGCACGTTGGGAGGCTGAGACGGGCGGATCATGAGGTCAGAAGATCGAGACCATCCTGGCTAACACGGTGAAACCCCGTCTCTACTAAAAAAAAAAAAAAATACAAAAAAACTAGCCGGGCATGGTGGCAGGAGCCTGTAGTCCCAGCTACTCGGGAGGCTGAGGCAGGAGAATGGCATAAACCTGGGAGGTGGAGCTTGCAGTGAACTGAGATCCGGCCACTGCACTCCAGCCTGGGCGACAGAACAAGACTCCATCTCAAAAAAAAAAAAAAAGAAAAAGAAGCATTTTGTTTTAGTAATAAAAATTAACAGAGGAAAAAAATACATTTTATTTAAATATTACAAGCATTTTTTCTAAAATATGTTGTTATTACTCCACTTCATCATTAAATTGAAAACAGTATTACTACATTTTCTATTTTTCAAAATTCCAAAGCAAAGAAATTTTTCTACAGAGTTCCCTCTGCAAATATTCCCCTACTTTAGGTAAAGTTAGCATAAGGAGAATGATAATTAATTACTTTGAAACAATGGAATTCAGATGAACCATTAGGGAACATTCTTATTTATCTATGGCCCTATCTTTTTGTTCAAATCAATTTTAAAATTTATACTTTATATACAATAAAGTGCACATATTTGTAACATATGGCAAAAGTAATTCAACAAATATAAATGCCTATGTAACCACTCCCAATTTAAAAAGATTGAAATTTTTAAAACTGAAATTACTTGGAGAAATAAGTTAGAATTTTTGTCGTCCAGAGCTGTGTTATTTAGCATGCAGTTTAGAGTTCAAGAATGCTATGTTTACAGATTACAAAGTAGCCAAGGAGGCTGGGTATAGTGGCTCATGTATTTATTCCCAGGGCTTAGGGAGGCTGAGACAAGAGGATTGCTTGTGACCAGTTCATGATCAGCCTGGGCAACACGGCAAGACCCTGTCTCTACAAAAAATTTTTTTAAATGAGTAAGGCATGGTGGCTGGTGTTTGTAGCTTCTGCTACTTGGCAGGCTGAGGTGGGAGGATTGCTTGAGCCCAGGAGTTTGAGGTGACAAAGCCAGATTTTGACTAATAATTTATTTATTAAATAATAAATTTTTAAAATTTACTATTTAATAATTTATTTAATAAATAAAGAAAGCAGCCAGTGATTTTTCTTGACTAAGTATTTTTCAAAGGCAAATATGCATAAAAGGCTGGAAATAAGAGGAATTAAAAATATTTTAATTTTTTTCTAGAACACACCTCATAGATGAATATAATACTTTGATTTAATTCATGTTTGTTTCTACAAATTCTGACATGAAGAGTCATCTTCAATCTTTTTCCAATAGTTAAAGAAGGAAGTGTAGTATGGCCTAATGCTTATCAGGGGGATTTAGAAAACAAACATCTGCCAATTGTTTTCTTGAGAAAGTTGTCATGGTCTACAACTGTGTGAGGTTGGCATGCAGATAGTGAAAGAATTTTATCTTAATACCAAGACAGTAATGAGTTTAGAAAGGCGTATTTATTCAGAGAAAAGGGGAGACACATTGCAAGGGGGCAACTGGCCAGACTGCAGAGGAAGGCTGTCTGCAAAGAGGCAGGGACTGGAGTGGAGTTTTATAAGGGTGCACCTTAGGCTGAAAGCTTGCAGACAGGATGCTTGGGTACAGATGGGCTGTGAGCTGGGTGCTTGTAACAGGATGCTTGGGTGCTAAGTGAGCCATTTGCAGTTGACCCTATTCTTGGAACATTCATTCCCGTCTACGTCTACCCCTGTTTCTGTTTCTGACAGCTAAACCCATTTTTCATTATTCTTTTAACTCCTTAGCACTCCACAAAAGTTAATCAATTTCTCTAAACCTCAGTTTTCTTATCTGTAAAAGGTAAATAACAATACAGGGTGCAACAGAAAAATCTAGTGTGGTTTACATAATAATGCGTTACAGATTTTAAATTATTTCAGGATAAGTCATGAGAATTAAATGAAGTAATGTATATAAAACACATAGTATAGTGTCTACCATATAGAAAATATTCAGTATATTGGTTATTAACTACTTGTTGAAGGTTTATCTTTTCCACTAAACTGTAAGTTCCACAAGGCTTACAATATGTGACAGATGTTCATTCGATGTCTGAATTCTTCAAATACATCCTCTTCACTATAGCATCTTATTAATTCAATTATTAATTGAAGAAATTCTATTGTTCAAAAATCACTTTTATATTTAACTGAAATTTGCTCACTTATAATTACATCCAACTTTCAAAGAAAACACATTAACCAAATGTACTGGGTAATGTTACTGGGTGATCCCACATTTTACAAATGAGGAGATATATTCTGGTAAGTTGAATACTTAGCACCCAAGGGTACACAGCTTGGACAGGACCAGGTCCAACGTCTGTTAAGAGTCTTCTGGCTCCAAACCCAGTGCTCCCTCCAATGCCACAAGCAGACTCCATAAAGGTATCATGTGCTGAATAGAGGCTGTAGAGTGGTACAAAATAAGACAGACATAATATTAAGTTTTAGCTTTGTGACTTGGAATGATTTACCTAATCTTGCTAAACTTCAGTTTTACCAAGTGTAAATCGGGAAGAGTAATAGGACAAACCTTGCAGGGTACCAATGGTGACTAAATGAGGTGACATACATAGCATGCATCACTCATAATAAGTGCTCTTTAAATATTAGTCACTCTTATTAGCTATCTCCGATGAGATTTGACAATAGGAACATTAGGAAAGATATAGTACATTCAGGATTTTGTTAGAAAGAGATGAAGAAATTCCCTTCTTTCCTGCTCTAGGTCATCTAGGAGTTGTCATGGTTCATTGTTGACAAATTAATTTTCCCAAATTTTTCACTTTGCTCAGAAAGTCTTCATCGAAGGACCCAAGACTGTACAATCTACCCCATCTTTTTCCACTTAACTCATACTGTGCTCTCCCTTTCTCAAAGCAAACTGTTTGCTATTCTTTGAATATACCTTGAGTTTTCTTCCTTTGCCTACTCAGCTGGCCCCCCGCCCCTAGTGTTTCTTCTCATCTCCACTGGGTCAAATTCTACCTGTATCTCATGGTTCTGTTAAAGCAGAGATTCCATAAAGTACTCCTGGTCAATTCACGGATTCTCTCACGGATTATAAGAACACAGTTTATTTTAAAAAGCATGTAGTTATTCTCTCCTTCGAAATATCATTATTATTATTAAGAATTTATAGCAGGGATAGAATTTTATATGATTGATTCATCTGGTTTATTCAACCAAGATTGATTTTATGTCTATTACGTAAGACAGTAGCCAGACATAACTGGGATATGAAAATAAAGTTCCTTCCCTCCCTCCTTCCTTCCTTCCTTCCTTCCTTCCTTCCTTCCTTCCTTCCTCCCTCCCTCCCTCCCTTCCTTCCTCCCTCCCTCCCTCCCTTTCTTTCTTTCTTTCTTTTTTTTTTTTTTTTTTAACAGAGTCTCACTCTGTCTCCAGGCTGGAGTGCAGTGGTGCCATCTCGGCTCACTTGCAACCTCCGCCTCCCGGGTTCAAGCGATTCTTCTGTCTTAGCATCCTGAGCAGCTGGGACTACAGGCGCCCGCCATCACTTCCAGCTAATTTTCGCATTTTTAGTAGAGACGGGGTTTCACCATGTTGACCAGGATGGTCTCGATCTCTTGACCTCGTGATCTGCCCGTCTCGGCCTCCCAAAGTGCTGGGATTACAGGTGAGCCACCACGCCCAGCCTATTTCTTTAAAAAATTGTTTTGTAATGTAAGTGGAGGATAGTACCCTACATGTTTATTAATAACAATAATATTCATTGGGAAAGGGCGTGGTGGTGATTTACGCTGATGACAACCATTCCTCACTATGGAAAAAAGCGAAGCTCTCTCTGCTCTACTTTTATTCAGTAGCGTATTGTAAAGATTTTACAGAATGTCAGAGCTGGATAAAAGTTCCTCATAATTATAGGAGTGGAGAGAGGAGAGTCTCTCTTCCTCCTCTCATTTTTAAGTAAGAGCTGTACATTTTCCAAGAAACTTTTTTTTTTTTTTTTTTTTTTTTTTTAAGGCGCCTCTCAAAAGGGGCCGGGTTTCCTTCTCCTGAAGGCAGATGTTGCCTCTCGCGCGCTCGGATTGGTTCAGCGCACTCTAGAAACACTGCTACCGGGGAGAAACTGGACCCCAGGGTCGGGAGCGAATTCCAGCCTCCAGGGCTGATAAGCGAGGCATTAGTGTGAGAGAGACTTTACCCCGCCGTGGTGGGCGGAGGGCGCGCAGTGGAGCAGCAACACAGGCGCAGGTCCCGGGAGGCCGGCTCTGCTCGCGCTAAGATGTGGAATCTCCTGCACGAAACCGACTCGGCTGTGGCCACCGCGCGCCGCCCGCGCTGGCTGTGCGCTGGGGCACTGGTGCTGGCGGGTGGCTTCTTTCTCCTCGGCTTCCTCTTCGGTAGGGGCGCGCCTCGCCGAGCAAACCTCGGAGTCTTCTCGGTGGTGCTGCGGCGCCGGGACTCGCCGTTCGGCTGCGGAGTGGGGTCCCGTTGCTGGTCTTCCCCAGGGGCGGCGATTAAGGTCGGGGTAATGTGGTGTGAGCACCCCTCGAGTTAGGAGGAGGGTAGCTGGGAACGGTGCAGGGCTGAGTTCTCCACAAGCTGCCTGTAGGACAGTCACTCAGGTTGATGGTAGGACAGAGAGAACCTGAAACTGGGCGTAGGAAGGTTCCACGTGCAGGAGCCCTGCAAGATAAGGCACTTTTAAGGGTTTAGGACGAGCGCCAACCCCTGAGGGCTGTTGAACCAGGCCGCCCAGGGAGCTGTGCACCAAGACTTGTTTAAGGTTTTTATCGGGTCGTACTGTTTCAGGTGTACGGTGGAATTCAGGACATTGCTGCAAAAGGAAGTTTTTTATTTTTTTCTCTCTCAGTACATTCTTTCTTCCTTGGAAGTAACAGAGGCAAGTTTGGGAACTGTGTGAACCAGGTCAGCGATCCGGACAGATCTCTACCAGCAGGTCTTTTGCGGTTTTTCCTGTGTACTGATTTGCAGACTTAATCCTACTTTCTTAAAAAAAAAAAGCAGAACAGCACAGGCGAACTCAGACTCTTATTAAATTCCAATTTTGACTTTGCCACTTTTTAGTGGCCTTGAACAAGTTACCGAGTCCCTCTCAGCGTTAGTTTCCCTCTTTTATGATGAGGATAATATTATCTGCAAATTATTGATAATAGTAAAGAATATAGCATGTAAATCTCCTAGCACAGTACTGGGATTTTCTCCACTTTATTTCTTCTTTTACCAAGATGCTCCTCATTGGACTTTAATGCACAGGACTAGTCTAAGGTATCACCAGGTAGTTCACTCCTGCTCGGAATTCTTGACCCTCTTTTGGGATTTAGAAGAACAGGGCATGGACCAGATGGGTTTAAACAAATTCAGTCTCTTCCACTAGCTTCACCTTGGGGTTGTTAAAAGATTTTTGAACCACACACTGTGCTCATAACATTCTTCATCTCTTAAAAGGATTTTACTCTTCCTGGTATTGCCCTCACTTCCGTCCCTGTATTCCCTGCTCAGTGGCTGACACAGAAGAGTTCTTTATTGATGCCCGCCCCGCACCCCCTAGGGTTCTCTGCTCTCCCCTCCCGCTACAGGCCTCCATCCTCTTTATCGTGTTCATTTTTCAGATCTCAGTTCAAGCATCTCATCCTCAGTGTGTTGTTTCTTGATCCCTCACTCTAATCCAAGTCTTTTTGTTTCATGCACAGGTGGAATCTTATTTCCGTTTGCGTCCAATCATGTATTTTAATGTGCATGTATATATGTATGTCCGTTTGTATGCATGCGATTAAGAACTAGCATAATTATAATTGGAAAGCTCCATGAAAGCTGGTTGGGTGCTAATTTTGTAACTATTTTATTCCCAGATCCTGTAATTTCTCTAAATAAATCCTGGAATATTGCCTTATCTCCTTCAGGTCAAAAGCCAACTGTAAGGTCTAATGATTGCAGGATCTAGCTATCCATTGCTTCTGGCTGCTTATGCATGCACTGGATGTCTGGCAGAGAGGTTGGGTAAATTGCAGTTTCATTGTAGCTGTCTGAACTTGGATTTCTCAAGCCTACTTCACTGGAAACACAAATTCTCACAGCAGTTTGTTGTAGTTTCAGAAACAGAGAAAATTAGAAGTCTGAATTGCCTTCAACACTTGGAAATAATTTATATGTTTGAAATATGTTCATGGTTAATTCATCATAAAAATGTATTAAATGCTTATTCTGAGTCAGCAGAGGAAGATAGAAGCTTTATGAAGGTAGAAGGTGGATCTCCTTTTTGCCTTCATTTTCAGAAGATCTTGTTCATACCCATTAGTTGAAACATTAATGTCATTTTATTGTGGTACTCATTATCTCATAAAACATTTCTTAGAATAACAGCAATACCTATCATTGATGTTAGATAAAAAATATTTTTCATTTGGTTTGTAACTTAAAAATCTGTTTGCATGATTTTTTTTTCAGTGAAAGTAAGCAAGAGAAATTAAACTTCAGGAAAATCTCAATGTCAGAAGTAATGTTGATAATTTGTGTTTTACAAATGATACATACAACAATAATGAATAATAAATCCTATCTATAGGCTCATATCTCATGCCTATTTTTGGATGTATTTTTCAGGATGGTTTATAAAATCCTCCAGTGAAGCTACTAACATTACTCCAAAGCATAATATGAAAGCATTTTTGGATGAACTGAAAGCTGAGAACATCAAGAAGTTCTTACAGTAAGCACTTTCTCAAAAGTTTATACGGACAAGTTGTTAGAAAAATTTATCATTCTGTTTTGGTCTAATATTTTATATATAGGAACTGGCCTTTTTTCCTTAAAGTTTTATTTATTAAAGATCTTGTATCACATTTCATCTGAGGAGGACTATACTTTCAGCTAAAGTTTGTCATTACAGAGGTTTAGAGCAGGAGTCAGCAAACTTTTTCTGTAAAAGGGCCAGCCTTTGTAGGCCAGCTGATCTGTGTCACAGCTAGTCAGTTCTACTATTGCAGCACAAAAGAAGTCATAGAAAATACATAAACAGTCTGTCAGTTCTGATAAAACTTTTCTTATGGGCACTGAAATTTGGATTTCATATAATTGATGTGTCAAAAATATTATTATTTTTAAAACCGATTTAAAATATAAAAACTATTCTTAGCTTGTGGACTATACAGAAACAGTTAGTGGGCCAGATTTGGCCAGTGGAACCTAGTTTGCTGATTCATGCTTTAGAGAAAGATAGTGCATTTCAGTTTAAAAAAAAAAAAAGGACTTTGAGTTAGAATTGAGTTTGAATTCTATCTTTGCCTATTAATACTTTAGATGAATACTTAAACTTTCTGAGCTCTCTTTTCCACATCTGTAAAATGGGAATAATGATCTTATTATGATATGAATGAAGTCAAAGAGCATATATTTGGCATATTTTAAAAACTAGTTCCCTACTTCCTGAAATAGCTGTTTCCAGTGTAGAACAAAAGAGATAAATAAGTAAATTGAAAAAGCAACTGAAAAGAAAATACTTATATAGAATTACTATATATAATTGATTAGAATACTTTTCTTTCTTTCTTTCTTTCTTTCTTTCTTTCTTTCTTTCTTTCTTTCTTTCTTTCTTTCTTTCTTTCTTTCTTTCTTTCTTTCTTTCTTTTGTTTCTCTTTCTCTCTTTCTTTCTCTCTCTCTTTCTCTCTTCTTTCTTTCTTGATGGAGTTTTGCACTTGTTGCCCAGGCTGGAGTGCAATGGCGTGATCTCGGCAAACTGCAACCTCTGTCTCCCAGATTCAAGCAATTCTCCTGCCTCAGCCTCCTGAGTAGTTGGGATTACAGGCATGTCCCACCACACCCAGCTAATTTTGTATTTTTAGTAGAGACGGGGTTTCTCCATGTTGGTCAAGCTGGTCTCAAACTCTCAACCTCAGGTGATCTGCCCGCCTCGGCTTCCCAAAGTGCTGGGATTACCAGTGTGAGCCCCTGCACCCAGCCCAGAATACTTGTTTTTTTCAAAGCGTGAGATCCTTTTGTGAATTTTTACAAATTGACTTAGCTCATGTGTCAAAAAATACTTGAAGTCCTTCTAATGATTGCAGGATTCCCTGGTGAATAAAGGTTGTAATTCTAAAAGACCATTTTACACACACATAGGTGTGCATAGATGTGCACACATATAATCATACAAGCACATATGTATTTGTATTAATTACAGCAGAATTAAAAGTATAAATAAAAATTGATAGGATAACTTTGAGGTCTTTGAAAGGACCTTTTAAATGTGAGACTCTGAAGCTCGAACTTCTTTATCTTTGTGGAAACTCCTCTTCTGCGCTTTTTCTACTATAATAATATATAGTAGGTATAATAAAAGTGGAGGTCTGGCAAGGTATGGTCTTTACTCCTGGACGGAGCTGCCGTTCCAGCTTTCTTCCTTTCCTAATGTTAGTGGTGGAAGAGATGCAAGTTACTCCAATTTACTGGTAGCCTATCCATAAAGTCAGTAGCAACTTCAGTCCTTGCTTCTTCAGAAGAAGGAATTCAACTCGGGGCAAAAGCAGAAAAAGAGACGGAGGCAAGTTCCAGAGCAGGAATGGAAGTTTATTTTGAAAGGCCTTGTAACAGGAAAGAAAGGAAGGTACGCTTGGAAGAGAGCCAAGCAGGCACATGAAGGTGAGAGGCCAAGTGCCCCACTTAACTGTGATCCTAGGACTTTTTTAAGCTTGCCTCTTTCCCATGATTCTTCCCTTAGGTTGGGCTGCCCTCATGTGCAGAGCCCTGCTAACCTTTGGGAAGTGAGCGCCCGCAATGTGTGTAGGAAAGTATACAAAGGCCCATCTGAGGCGCTCTTCCTTTTTCTGGTGGAGTGTACCCGGAAGATTATACCATTTTTGTCTCTAACACGCATGCCCAGGAAGTTGCTTCTCCCGGGAGTCTGCATTCAGTTAACAGTTTGGTATTAGCAGGTGGGGACGATCAAGAACTGGCCTCTCCCTAGCACTGCCGAATCATTTTTAGAGACAGTGCGATAATTACTGAGCCGAACAACACAATGCGATAATTGCTGAACCAAACAATCACCCGACATTCTAGTGGGTCCGGGGGAGAGACCTCTCCTGCCTTGCTCCTGTCTAACTACCTGTAACACTAACTTGTGACATAGATTGACCAACAAAGAAGAAAAATAAATGCCTTTCTTTATTTCTCTTTTTGGACCGTCAAGCAAGATTAAGCACTCAGCTTCTTGTTGATTCTCCATGTGCCTAACCAAGCTCCTCTACCCGGAGGATATTCAGCATAAACACACAAAATAAAGAAATGGAAAGAATTCCCTCTCATTCCTCCAAGGACCACAGAATCTCCAGAAGCCTCCTAAGCTCTCTAGATTTCCAATTTGCCATTTGTCCATCAGAGAGCTTTTAATTAAAATACACCCATGCGTGAGGGACTATTAAAGCCTCTGACCTTCCATCTTGTCCCTCTTTTTAATCCTTTGTTCTGCTCGTAAAAGCCCTCACTGTCTCTGAAATATCTGCCTCAGTAGTGAATGGGAGGATTAATTAGGAGCAGTTTTTTTTTTTTTTTTTCATTCTGCCTTGAGGTACAGGGTTGTATGTGTTTTCCCTTCTTTGAAAACACCCAGTTGAATTCACAGATCTGTTTACCATTTTGCATCTCTAGAGGGGTTTTTCCTTTTCCACCTTGTTTTGCAAGATAAGATTGTTTTAAAAGGTGTTTTAGACTTTTGGTCTCAGAATTTTACTGGTCTATATTTGAATACAGATATATAGGCCCAATGAAATCACATATTAAACTATACTTCTCAATTTTTTCATCACTTGAGATGTATGTCACAAGTCTTTTATTGATACTAGAATATCAAATTGTGTTTAAAAAAAAGGTAAGAATAAGAATTTACACATTTTCCAGAATAGCAAAAATCCATTCGTAGATCCCTGTCAGACTGGTTTAAATATGTTCCAAGTATTGTCTTGTCACATTATCTCAATTATTATTATTATTATTGTTATTATTTTTCAGACAGGGTCTCACTCTGTTGCCAGGCTGGAGTACAGTGGCACAATCATAGCTCACTGCAGCTTGGAGCTCCAGCCTACCCATCAGGTAGCACTACAGGCACATGCCACCATGCTCAGCTAATTCCACCTTTTACTAAATGCCTTCAAGTCGTCTTTAACTCTTGGAAACATTGCCAAATTATTTGTAAACGAGATGAAATGTACTAAAACAGAAATAACAGTAGCTCTCTTTAAGAACTGAGAAAATGTAGTCGAGCATAGTGGCTCACCCATGTAATCCCAGCCCTTTGGGAGGGCAAGGCAGGCAGATTCCTTAAGTTCAGGAGTTTGAGACCAGCCTGGGCAACATAGCTAGACTCTGTCTCTACAAAATATTTTTAAAAATTATCTGGACATGGTGGCATATGCCTGTAGTCCTATCTACTCAGGAGGCTGGACTTCCAGGTTTTAGTGAGCTATGATTCCACCACTGTATTCCAGCCTGGCAACAGAATGAGACTCTGTCTCACAAAAAAAAAAAAAAAAGCAAAAAAAAATTGAGATAATGTGACAATACTAGAAACACATTTAAACCCAGCCCTACAGGGATATATAAACAGAATTTGGCTATTTGGGAAAATTTGTAAATTCACATTTTTTTATTATTATTCTTATTTATTTATTTTTTGCAAAATTTGATATTCTAGTAGGTTCAACAACTTGTGACACAACATCTCAAGTGATTAAAATCATTGAGAAGTGCTATTTAATACACAATCTAATTGAGCCTCAAGTCTTTGTGAAGTAACGAGATAGTGATGTTCTCCCCATGTACAGATGAGAAATTCAAGACACAGCTGGGGTTACATACTGAGTTAATGATAACACCTGTATTATACCACTTACAGAATTTATGCTAATTATTTTATTTAGTATTTGCAATGGATCTTTTTTTCGTACTAATCTTTTCCAGGATGTGTTTTGTTCAAATGAGTGAGTGCCAACCCTGATAACAGCAAAATGTTGTTTCCTAGTTGGTAGTGACAAGACTGTTACAGGAAAATTCACTTATAGTAGCATAGCCTTATAGTAGCATGCTTTTTTATGAGTAAGTTCAAGATTCTCCATAGTAATTCCTTTTGCTTGTAGGGACAGAGGTATCGCTGGCACTTGGGGAAATCTGCATCCTACATTAGTTACATTGCAGTTTGTGATCTTTGTAATATTCAAGAAAATAGTGACATGTTGGCTGGTTTTCTGTTTTCCCTGCAGGTGCTCACTGATAAAGGATAGAGACTCCTTAGCTGCTCTTACGTTTGTGCTCTTTTTGTTACAATATTTTCCATATTAGAAATTCTGTGTAAGATAGTTTGCCCCTAAACATTTACCAAATGAGGATTTTAATACTATTTTTATAAATACAATTTAAATAACTTTAATATAATTATTAAAAGTAAACAAGTTACAGGAAATTCCAGTTTTAAAAAATTGAGTTACTTTAATTCGTTGTTGATTCACCAAATGAAAAAAATTAAAACACATGGTAGAATGAAACTTGAAACTGGGATTATCATAGCCGTGTTGGTTATTAGTTTTTTTTTTTTTTAAGTCATCATAAAGATGGAATTATGTTGATTTTATAAAACTACATATTTAAAACTAGAAATTTATGAAGTTCCAAAAGTTTATGAACTATATATATACACACATATTTTCATGCTACATAATATCTTGTCATATATTTAAGGGCAGGGCTTAAGTTAAAAATACTAACCAATGAGCTCTTCAGGGAAACAAGAAATTTCCCAGGAGGGAGAAATTTAAAACAATCAAAAGCACCAGAATCTAAATATATTAAATGAGAAATTAGTCTACTGAAAATATTCCTGGTAGCCAAATTTTGGCCACATAATTTCTTTGTTAAAGATATTATTCTTCAGACTAATTACTGTCATTGATTTTAAGTGTGTTACTCTGTATTATAGATGAAGTGCAAGAGATTCATTCTGAACTTGTGTCAGTATGTTCAGATTATTCTTTGATGAAGATATTTTATAAATGGTTGCTAGTCAAACAGTTTATCGCTTGTGTATAATTCTCACTATTTAAATAAGTGTAATTATTAGTAATTCTTGCCATGTCACACCTTGGTCTTTGGGATAAAATGTTTTTATCTGTTTCAATAATTTACACAGTGATATAGACAGATAATTCCATGTAAGTTCCAAGAAGTATAGGTCTTAAGAAAGAATATGACACTTTATTAATCTACCATATGAGGCTATAGTCATAGGATTACACATAATGATACAAAGATCAATTTCTCCAATTTTTCTCTTGATTTAGTACAAATTAGAACATAAAGATTTCAAAGCAGACTGAAAATCTATTTCATGCAATAATAGTACCACTTTAATGTTTTAACATATCACATTTCAAAGTATTTTTGTGTAACTCTGCTTTATTTTGTTGATTTGGAATAAAAGTTGATTAAACATTAATATCTAACCAGTTTCAATTTTTGTTCACCAGTAATTTTACGCAGATACCACATTTAGCAGGAACAGAACAAAACTTTCAACTTGCAAAGCAAATTCAATCCCAGTGGAAAGAATTTGGCCTGGATTCTGTTGAGCTAACTCATTATGATGTCCTGTTGTCCTACCCAAATAAGACTCATCCCAACTACATCTCAATAATTAATGAAGATGGAAATGAGGTAATAAATAAACAAATAAATAAATAAAAGAAACATTGCCCCCATTTATTCTTTTTCAAATACTTCTATGAAATAATGTTCTATCCCATCTCTAAATATTAATAGAAATCAGTATTATTGGATCTTGTGAATACCTTTAATATCTCATTATCCATGTCAACTAATTTCCTATGATGTTTGAGTTTTATGTGTTTTAGAAAGATTCTGAGAAATTAATGCTTGATAAGAGTTGCTGTTTTCTTGTTTTTAGTACTACACACTAATATCAAATATGATATACTTGTGAACTTACAAGCATAAAAAGAGACACTTTATAAAAGAGATTCTTTTTTTTTTTTCAGATTGAGTTTCACTCCTGTCGGGCAGGCTGGAGTGCAGTGGTGCCATCTCGGCTTACTGCAGCCTCCACCTCCCATGTTCAAGTGATTCTCCTTCCTCAGCCTCCTGAGTAGCTGGGATTACAGGTGTGCACCACCATGCCCAGCTAATTTTTGTATTTTTAGTAGAGATGGGGTTTTGCCATGTTGGCCAGGGTGGTCTTGAACTCCTGACCTCAGGTATCCACCTGCCTCAGCCTCCCAAAGTACTGGAATTACAGGCATGAGCCACCACGCCTGGCCAACAGATACATTTTTGATATGTTTAATTTATAAAGACACTGCACAGATTTGGAGTTGCTGAGAAATTCAGGGATCCAGTATGCAGTTTGACCCAGCAAGTTTTTATTGGTACTTAATGATTATGTCTCAATTGATCAGGTTGAGCTCCGTGCGAAGAATTTGTGTGTGGACATTTGGAGAGGACAAGTTTGGAGGCAAGGTCTTTAGCATGGTATTTAAAGAATTTGCAATCTTGTTTGCAAGTTGGGGCATATACTTAAGAAACAGAAGACAATGCAGATAAATTGATATATTTATTATCATGATATGTTCAATATGAAAGATCACAAAATATAACATACATTCATCCCTACTTAACATACCTGAGTTTTAGAGCTACCGTATGTAGAAGAGTCCATTTCAATTTAGGTAACTTCCTTTAGTCCTTTTATTACTGGGCACTCTTAATTACACATAGCTTGAAATATGTCCAGTTTAAACAGTGAACTGAAAATGTCATGTGATGTAAGTACATATTTAATTTTTTTTCATTATAGGTCAATAACCTCCTTTTATTGACTAATGAATCAGTCTCTTCTTAATGATAAATATGTTGTTATGTTTTACAGTCAGTGATATGATTCCATACTAAATTTCCTAATGTGATTGGAGCTTTTCATATTAACTGCTGTTGTCAATCATAGTAGTTAACAATATAACTTTAAAAAATATTATTAAGCCAGGCGTGGTGGCATGTTCCCCTAATCTCAGCTACTTGGGAGGCAGAGATAGGATAATAGCTTGAGCCAGGAGTTTCAGACCAGCTTGAACAACATAACAAGACTCCGCTTTAAAAGAAAAGAAAAGAAAAAAAGAAAAACAAAAAACTCTAAAATATATTATATTTAAAATGGAATACCATTACACATCATAGAGCCTCAGGTTGTTAAATAAGGGGTGGCATATCTATACTGTTAAATACCAAGGAGTCTTTAAAATATGTTCAGAAAAATTATTTGAAGATATAAAATATTGACAATGTTAAAAAGTATACATATGCTTAAACCTCTGTTTTGATCTGTCAAATTTGGGAATTGTCTAGGTACAAGGCGGAAAAGAGCAAACATATAATATATTTTAGTTTATTTTTTTAAGGTGGAGTCTTGCTAATGTTGTCATTTTTTCTTCTTTTTTCCTTCCTCCTCACTTTCCAGTTTTGATTGTATCATTGATTATTTTATTTCATTACTTATTTTTGTATTATGAGCATTCATAATGTTACCAAAGCCTTTTAGAGAATACAAAATGAATCATGTAAAAGTTTCATTTGGGAAATTTTCCCATAGTGTTAGATGCCTAGTTTCTTAATTTTTTAAAATTACATCATTAGTTCTTTTTATTTTTATCCAAGTTATATATGTACATAATCTCACAATGTACATATATATATACTCATATATGTACACAATTCTCCTGAGTGCCTTGATTTTTCTCTGTTTTCCTCTTTCCAGAGGCAATCATTATTCAACTATAAGTTCATTCTTTTGATATTTACATCTATTTCTGTAAACTACATGCTTATATGCTTTTATTTCAGATGCAGGCATTATCTATTGACATTGTGACAAGTCAACTCCCTGTTCATCCCTTGGCCCCAACCACCATGTTCGCTTACTATCTGCCATCTCCCAGTATAATTTAATTGGTATGAATAAAAATTCACAGCTGAGCTATGTGGTAAACTGTGATTCCTTTTATACCCCTACACGAAACAGACAAGTTCTCCATCCTATAGGCAATAAATATGGTTAGTATTTTTTTTTTTTTTTTTTTTTTTTTTTTTTTTTTTTTTTTTTTTTGTCTAACTGAGTTAATAAAAATCGCAAACAGATTTCGGCAAAACCGATCTTACAACTCCTACACGAAACAGGGATGTTCTCCATCCTATAGGCAACAGTCATGGTTAGTGATGAGAGATCATTTTTGAGACGGAGTCTCGCTCTGTCGCCCAGGCTGGAGTGCAGTGGTGCGATCTCGCTTCACTGCAAGCTTCGCCTCCCAGGTTCACGCCATTCTCCTGCTTCAGCCTCCCCAGCAGCTGGGACTACAGGCGCCCGCCGCCACGCCTGGCTAATTTTTTGTATTTTTAGTAGAAACAGGGTTTTACCGTGTTAGCCAGGATGGTCTCGATCTCCTGACCTGGTGATTTGCCCTCCTTGACCTCCTGAAGTGCTGGGATTACAGGCGTGAGCCACTACTCCCAGCCAAATATGGTTAGTATTTTGTGGATCCTATCAGAATTTTTTATTTTTTATTTTAATTAATTAATTAATTAATTTATTTATTTATTTATTTATTTTTATTTTTTTATTTTTTTTTGAGACGGAGTCTCGCGCTCTTGCCCAGGCTGGAGTGCAGTGGCCGGATCTCAGCTCACTACAAGCTCCGCCTCCCGGGTTTACGCCATTCTCCCGCCTCAGCCTTCCGAGCAGCTGGGACTACAGGCGCCCGCCACCTCGCCCGGCTAGTTTTTTGTATTTTTTTAGTAGAGATGGGGTTTCATCGTGTTAGCCAGGATGGTCTCGATCTCCTGACCTCGTGATCCGCCCATCTCGGCCTCCCAAAGTGCTGGGATTACAGGCTTGAGCCACCGCGCCCGGCCTATTTATTTATTTTTGAGACGCTGTCTCGCTTTGTCGTCCAGGCTGGAGTGCAGTGGCGCGATCTCGGCTCACTGCAAGCTCCGCTTCCCGGGTTCACGCCATTCTTCTGCCTCAGCCTCCCCAGTAGCTGGGACTACAGGCGCCCGCCACCGCGCCTGGCTAATTTTTTTGTATTTTTAGTAGAGACGGGATTTCACTGTGTTAGCCAGGATGGTCTCGATCTCCTGACCTCGTGATCCGCCCGCCTCGGCCTCCCCAGAAATATTTTTAATGTATACAGAGACATTGTTTCACCTTTGATTATGCAGAAATAACATACCATAAAGATTGAACTAGGTACTGACTTTATGTCACAAAATGTAAACAGAAATCGTAAATTAATATTGTTTTAGTTATACTTAGAATATATAATTTGAGGCTACTAGTGCATTTTGAAAAGTAAAAAATACTCTAAGACTGAAATATAATCTATCTTTGATAAAGTCAGCCAAAAAGTCATTTCCTTGACATTAAAAAACTTTTCTTCTTAGAATAGCTCATAAACTTGCTTTAAAATTCAGTGTGGCATAGTGGTGCTGCAAAATTGATTACCATAAAGGCAAATCAAGTGAGACAAGTTTGAATATTCCCTTGCCTGAAAGACATGCTTATATAACGACTTTGTTCCTTTATTGATTTTTATTGCTCCTCAGCATAATTTTTCTTTTAATCTTACCTAGTGATTCAGATGAGTTCATATGTGAATAACAGAAAAAACATGAGAAATTCAGAAGATGTGGGGATTTGGCAAGTAGTAGTTGATATGGTTTCATTTTAGCTTCTATCAGTCACAGAAAAGGGAAATAACTACTGCTCTAGTTAGTACAATGTAAAATCTGCCCAGATCCATTCCTCATCTCCAAATCCCTCCCATTTGTATTACTGCACTGAGCAAGACCTATACAGTATAATGTTGAAAAGAAGTTTTGATACCAGATATCCTTAACTTTCTTCTGGTCTTGAAGGAAATACCTTTAATTCTTTTTCACCATTAATTATGATATTTACTGTTTTATTTTTCTGGTTATCTTAATGTACATCCTTTCCACATATACTAAAATTTTTTGCTATATGGATTTATATTAAACACATTTTTCTTTGAGATCAGCATGCAATTTTTCTTTCTGGATCTGAAGATGACATTCAGTGATATTCTAATGTTAGAATAATCTTACATTTTTTGAACTTGTAATATTAGCATTAGAGTTTTAAATTCATATATTGATATATATTCTGTTTATACTCATAGCATGTTTAGTCTGTGTGTTTGCAATCTGTTTGTTGGGCTATAATTTCAATATTATACTTGCCTTCTAAAATGAGTTGGGTTTTTAATATTTTCTGAAATAGGTTTTGTTGTAATTAAATTATCTTTTCCTTTAACCTTTCCAACTCAAGGAAAACCAGTTGGCCTTGACTCTGTTGTGGAAAATTTTAAAATACTGGTTTAATTTCTTTATTGGTTGTTATATGACTATTTTATGTTATATAATAATTTTTATTGTTTGTTAAATGGCTTTATTGTTTGTCATATGATAATTTTGTGTCATATAACAATTTTTATTGTTTGATATATGACTTTATTGTTATATGGCTAGACAACTATACTATTTTTTTTTTTTGACTGAATCTCACTCTATCACCCAGGCTGGAGTGTAATGGCATGGTCTTGGCTCACTGCAATCTCTGCCTCCCCAGTTCAAGTGATTCTCCTGCCTCAGCCTCCCGAGTAGCTGGGACTACAGGCACGTGCCACCACACCAGGCAAATTTTTATATTTTTAGTCGAGACATGAGTTCACTATGTTGGCCAGGCTGGTCTTGAACTCCTGACCTCATAATCCACCTGCTTCGGCCTCCCAAAGTTCTGGGATTACAGGCGTGAGCCACCGTGCCTGGCCGATTTTCTAAAAAATGTATTCTTATTTCAGTTTTTGTAAGTTTTATTTAAAATGCAATTTCCATTTCATGTAAGCTTTCAAATTTATAGTATAGTTGTTCCTGGTATTTTCTTATCTTTTTTAATCTGTTCGGCATCTGTAGATGTGCCTCTTTTTGATAATTGATATTATTTATTTGTACTTTTGCTATATTATTTTCTTATTGCTCCTGAGAGGGATATGTCGAATTCAGTAGTGTATCCAAAGAATAAAATTTGGCTTTGGCAATCTTTTCTCATCTATCTTTGCTTTATATTTTATTAATTCTGTTCTTGTTTTATAATTACCTCTTTTATCTTCTTTGTGTTTACATTGCTGTTCTTTGTAAAATCCTCAATAGAATGCTTAATTTACTGATGTTGAGTCTCTTCATTTCTAATATGAGTATGTAGAGCCATAAATTTTCCCTTTATCTTCCCTTTCCACTTCAACTACATCTCATAAATTTGGATTAGGAGTAGTTTAGTTATGATTAGCATCTAAATATTTTTTAATTTCTGTATTTTCTTCTTTGATCCTGGAACTATTTACAAGTCTTTTTTTAAATTCTGAATGTAAACATTGTTCTTGTTGTTTGTTTGATCTGATCTCTAAATTGAATATATTGAGATCAAATAATGTGGTTTTTAGGACACTAATCCTTTGACAATTGTTGAGGCTTCCTTTGGAGCCTAACATGTGCTCAATTTTTATAAATGTTCTGTGTTTCTTTGGGAAAAACAGGTAATTTGATGGTTGTTTGGGATAATATTTTATATTTGTACATTAGTTTGAGTTTGTTTATTATTTGACTGAAATCTCCATTATCCTTAATGTGCTCTCATTTTGTCTGCTTCCTTTATTAATTAGAAATAAATGTTAAATTATCTCACCTCACTATAGTGGTGTCTATGTTATATTATATATATAATTTATAATTTCATAAATTTATGTTATCTATAATTTGGGGACCTATTGTCGTATGTAAACAAAATTAGAATTGTTGATGAAATGACAGACTTACACTTATGTAGTAGCCTTCCTTATCTCTTTGTAATGTTATTTGACTTTGCCCTAAAATTTTTTTTAAAGCTAATATTTGTTTGGTATTTCTTTTTCAGTTTTGTTACTTTTAAACTTGCCTAGGTTTATTTCACTCCTTGTCAACTGGTACACAGCTAATTTTATTTAGTCTGACATACTATGCTTTTTAATTATTCTTTTTTCCATTTTCATTTTTTATAATTCTGATATACAATATTTAGGTCACTTTTACCTTCCTCTAGTATGAATTTTACTCTTCCTTTTTTCCCCTAAAGCTTTGATGTCACAATTCAATCAATGTTTCTACAATATATCAACCTTAGAATACTTTCACTTTCATTATATATTACCAATTTATATGCATAATTTTAATTCAATCTTGTTTCATAAACTTGAAAAATATGTTTGTTATTATGATAGTAATACATTATTATTATCATATACAGTCCTCATTTAATTTTTACCACACATTTGCAATATCTTTCCTTTCTGATTCTCTTGCATCATTTTAGAGATTCTTTTAGCGGCTTCATTTGTTGTATGGTATTGTTTTGTTTATTGAACAATATTGTTTACAAATGTTCTTTGTTTTAAGTGAACACCTGTCGACCCAAAACTGTTAAAATTTGGTGGAAAAATGTTTTTCATATTCATTCTCAAAGGAAGAATGATTTTGTAGGACACAAATTTGCAGTTTGACAGTAATTGTTGCTCAAAACCAGGGAGACAATATTCTACTGAATTATGGATTCCATTGCTACTGGTTTTTTTTTTTTGTTTTTTTTGTTTTTTTGTTTTCTTTTTGAGACAGAGTCTCTCTCTGTCACCCAAGCTGGAATGAAGTGGTGTAATCTCGGCTAACTGCAACCTCTGCCTCCCAGGTTCAAGTGATTCTCCTGCCTCAGCTTCCCAAGTAGCTGGGACTAAAGGTGTGTGCCACCACACCTGGCTAATTTTTGCATTTTTGGAGAGGAGGTTTTGGTAGAGAGGAGGTTTTGCTCTGGAACTCCTGACCTCAAGTGATCTACCTGCCTCAGCCTCCAAAAAGTGTTGGCATTACAAGCATGAGCTACCACACCTGGCCTTAACTTTTTTTTTTTTTTTTTGAGATGAAGTTTCGCTGTTGTTGCCCAGGCTGGACTGCAATGGCGCGATCTTGGCTCACTGCAACCTCCACCTCCCAGGTTCAAGTGATTCTCCTGCCTCAGCCACCCAAGTATCTGGGACTACAGGTGCACCATGTCCCACTAATTTTGCAATTTTAGTAGAGACAGGGTTTCCCCAGGTTGGCCAGGCTGGTCTTGAACTCCCGACCTCAGGAGATTCACCTGCCTTGGCCTCCCAAAGTGCCAATATTACAGGCATGAGCCACCGTGCCCAGCCTGGCTTTAATTTTTATTTAAATTTTAATTCAATATCATGTGTATGATACATACCATAAATACAGTCTTTGCAGCTGTAATTTTGCTCTGTTCTTTCTGTTGGCTCTTTTCCATAGTACTTTGGAGGTGTTTGGTGATTTTGTGGCTCTGAGTTCTTCTCCCTTAGAATTTGGGAATTCTTTAAAGCTAAGTTGAAGACTGATTCCTCCTGATCATTTCTCTTAGACCCCAGGGAGCACTACAAACCTGGCACTGCTTTAAAATAAATATTTTAGTTTGAGGCATACTGTACAAAAATAGTGAGTGGAAATTTGCAGGGTTATGAATTATCTGGAACCCTTTTTTCCTGCTTTACCCTAAGCCATTACTTTCCATGGAGCAAGTTTATTTTGAATTTATCCTTAACCCTGAAGGATTTTATTATTATTATTATTATTATTATTATTATTATTATTATTAGTCACCCAGGCTGGAGTGCAGTGGCGGCAATCTCTGCTCACTGCAAACTTGCCTGGCAGGTTCAAGTGATTCTCCTGTCTCAGCCTCCTGAGTAGCTAGGATTACAGGCACATGCCACCAAGCCCAGCTAGTTTTGTATTTTTAGTAGAGATCGGGTTTCACCATGTTGGTCAGGCTGGTCTCAAACCCCTGACCTTGTGATCTGCCCACCTTGGGATCCCAGTCTCCCAAAGTGCTGGGATTACAGGCGTGAGCCACTGCGCCCGGCCAGGATATTGTTGTACTTAGACCAGCTTTATGCACAGTCTTCTGCTAGATTCCATTATGTGAACCAGTTTTAGACTAACTCCTGAATCCTTTTCATGGGGCCATAGGCTTTGATAGATCCACCTAAGGCAAAGCCAACTTCCATGCTGCCTCTGAGGATTCTTGCTTTCATTTTATTTTTTTGCTTCTGAATATTCCTTACTATTTTTTCCAATTTAATTATAAACTTAAGAAGACATATATTTGGTTCAGTGTTTTTCATTCTTTTCAGTGCATATGCTGTTCAGAGAATCTAGCTATGGCCAGTTGTGGGTTCCCTAATCATGTACTTTTTTTAAGTAAATTTAATATTTACTTTGTTCCTAGCTAATTATCTAAGCACTATTATAATGATTGAGATTACCAAACAAAGTTACTTTTTATTTGAGGATTAAAATTTTTCTCCAAAATCAAAAGCTAGTCCTTCCAAGTTCTCTCAAGAAATTCATGAGGTTAATTTACTTCTAACCTTCTGTGAAGCAGGCTTTTATTTACACTAGGTTGGTATGTATGCCACTTACAAAAAATCAATTTCTAATTCTTCCTTCTATCAGTATACAGGTTACAGTACACAATATGCCTTTCAGAAGAGTATCTTTTTACCTCTTCTGAGCTTTTCTTTCTATAGTACTTACTCATTTTATGATTGTTGTTTTTTGTTTGGTTGATTTTTAGTTATTGGTGGAGGTTTTTAGCTTTGTTACCTTGAATAGATCTTACCATTTTGAGGACAAAATCTGTGATGTATTCATCTCATGAATTCCTCACAACTTCTACCACAGTGCTGGGTATCTGATATTATCATCAAAATCCTGAAGGATTCATTCACCCTCTACTGACGTAAAAGATAATATGCATTTGTTTATGTTTGATTATAGTAATCAAACTTTAACTGATTTACTTTTGATTATAATATTTTGTTTCTCTAGATTTTCAACACATCATTATTTGAACCACCTCCTGCAGGATATGAAAATGTTTCGGATATTGTACCACCTTTCAGTGCTTTCTCTCCTCAAGGAATGCCAGAGGTAAAAACATAGTGCAACAAAATAAAAATGACAAAAAGAAGCCTTCACTTCATACGTTCAGCCAATAATTAAAGGGTCATAAAGGGACTTTTGATGTAATCCAATTAATTTTTTCCACATTTAAGTAATGAGAATGTCTTAGTAAGAAGGAGGAATATTGATTATATTTTATTCATAGTATTTTTAAAGATACAATTTACTGCAATGAGATGCACAAATCCCAAATACACATTTATTGATTTTTGACAAATGCCTACATCTGGATGATCCGTACCCCATCAATGTACAGAATATTACTTTTACATCAGAAAATTCCCTTATGCTTCTTCTTAATCAGCTCTACACACTCCAGAGGATATGTTTCTTTGACGTTTTTGCCACTATAAATTAGTTTTGCCCATTCTAATTTTTCATTTTTTTGTTCAGTCTATCTGTGTTTTCCTTTGTTGAAAAGAGATTCTTAATTTTGATATTGTCAAATTACTTTCCTTATGTTTTTGCACTTTGGGCTTTATTAATATTCTCCTTTATTATTTACAGTGATATAACTGCATCACTTATGTATACAAAATTAACAATAAATTTTTATTTAAAAATAGTATTAATATTACCAGATTGAAGCTAAACAGAAATGACCAAATAGTATATGATAGCAGAAAGTATAATGAATCAATTTAATTTAAAATAGCTAAAAAATATAAATTATACTTTAAAAATCTTAAATGAATGTGATCTCTTGAAGAAGTTGAAGTGTGAAGTGTGAAATTGAAGAACACTGAAATGTATTGAGCAGTGAAAAGATTATGTATTAAAAAACAGGTTGACCCGGTGCGGAGGCAGGCAGATCACCTGAGGTCAGGAGTTTGAGATCAGCCTGGCCAACATGGTGAAACCCCATCTCTATGAAAAATACAAAAAAAAAATTAGCCAGATGCAGTGGCACACACCTGTAGTCCCAGCTACTCCGGAGGCTGAGACGGGAATGGCTTGAACCCGGGAGGCGGAGCTTGCAGTGAGCCGAGATCGCACCACTGGATTCCAGCCTGGGCAACAGAGGGAGACTCCATCTCAGAAAAACAAAACCAAACAAAAAACAGTTAAACCGTTTATGTTTCTGGATGAGAAAACATCATGTTATAAAGAGAAGATTACACCTAAATTAGTTTGTAGGTTTACTACATACCCAATTTAAATCTTCCAAATAATTTTTGGACTTTGACATTACTCTTAATCATAAGAAAGAGTTATAAAGATCATTGTCTCTTATTTCCTTCAAATAGACTTAAAATCTTCCAGATCAATGGCTAAATAGAAAGAGCACACATGTTGTATGGGTTTGCTGTTTATGTTCAAATATCAGATGAGTTTCCTGATCGGTGTTCCTCACTGGATCATCTGTAACCCAGTGGAGTGTTAATTCTTTCAAAACTATGTGTGTCCGTATGTGTGTTTAAAACATTTCATGGGCCGGGCGCGGTGGCTCACACCTGCAATCCCAGCGCTCTGGGATTGTGGCGGGCGGATCACGAGGTCAGTAGATCGAGACCATTCTGGCTAACACGGTGAAACCCTGTCTCTACTAAAAATACAAAAAAGTTAGCCAGGCGTGGTGGCGGGTGACTGTAGTCCCAGCTACTCGGGAGGCTGAGGCAGGAGAATGACGTGAACTCGGGAGGTGTAGCTTGCAGTGGGCCGAGATCGTAACTCCTGACCTCAGGTGATCCGCCTGCCTCCGCATCAGGCCCACCTGTTTTTTTATACATAATTTTTCACTGCTCAATACATTTCAGTGTTCTTCAGTTTCACACTTCACACTTCAACGTTTTCAGTAGATAACATTCATTTAAGATTTTTAAAGTACATTTCATGTTTTTTAGCTATTTTAAATCATTATTTAAATTTATGCCCTTCAGCCTGGGCGACAGAGCTAGATTCCGTCTGAAAAAAAAAAAAAAAAAAAAAAAAAAATCACGATTTCACGATCAGTAATCTTTGAATTTACGTCTGAATCCTGTGGAATAGGAAATATGGGATTCTGCTTTATGATGTTTAAAATTAGCAATTTGCAGTGTTAATAAAATATAGCCTATTCTAGTGGTTCTCAAGTTTTAGTGTCTGTCACAATAATCTGGATGGCTTGTAAAACACAGATTCTGGTTTCCACTTCCTAAGTTTAATGAGGTGGAGCCTTAGAGTTTGTGCTTGTAACAAGTGTGATATTGTTTCTGAGGGTTCAAGGACCATCTTTGAGAATCACTGATTTTGCCTCCCAATTCTATCTCTATAAATAAGAGTTAGGGAGATGGAAGCTTAAGGAAACAAAGAAAATTCCAGGCTAAGAGTGCAAGATTCTATTTATTCACAGTCATAGAACAATGGATGGTACAGTGTAAATTGTACAAGAAGGTCTTTGTTTAAAAACAAAGCTCTTTTCTAACTCACAGTGACGACTTGCATTTGAGAAGTGCTGAGAGGGAATATCTGTCACACTTGTTTTCATTTTCAAAGTTTACTCTCATTTTTAAGCTAATATCTTTTTCAGTTTTCTCTCACAATTTGTTTTGTGAGGATTGCTGATATATCAAAGGACAACCATATTTAGAGACATTTAAAGGTATAGTCCCCTCAAAGTTATATTAAGGGTGAATTACATGTAGGATACTTACACTAAAAAAAGTATTTTGCTGAAATCAAATTGGTTAATGACTTTGTAGCCACAGTTAAAATAGAATAAGAGTGTGCTCCAGAGAGGGCTAACAATGATAAATCAGAAATACAGTGTTATGATTAATAGTGCATTAATATTACATTGGTCTTAGGAAGAAATACAAGAGCTAAATGTAATCCTTTTACATTTAGGCAAAGATTCAAATGTCAGTTTCCCAATTAGATTCACATTTTATTTAATATTACACCCACTTAAGCTCCAGTTCACCATTTGTATACTCTATTTAAATGCTTTTTATTTTTTTCTATACTACTTATCACCTTTTAATATAATGTATGCTTTGCTTAGTTATTAAATTTAATGCTCATTATCGTATTATTCCATCCACATTACAGGAAATCCCCAACTTAAGATGGCTACTTAAAATTTTTTGACTTTATGATGGTGCAATAGCCATACTCATTCAATCCACTTCTCTACTTACCATGAGGTTATGTCTGGATAAACCCATTATAAATTGAAAATATCCTAAGTCAAAAACACACTTTAGACATATAATTATTTTCAACTTAGGTGAGTTTAATAAGACTTAATCCCATTGTGACTGAAGGAGGACCTGCAGTGTAAGTGCCTTCAAGGGCAGAGATTTGTTGCATTACATAGGGCACTGCCTAACACATGATAGATCTTCACCAATTTGTCAAATGAATCCTAGAATCAGCTTGGAGACAATTCTATTTTAATATCTCATATATATTTGTTGTGTACATGCTATGAAAAATGTAGTCAAAAAGGGAAACAACAGCCAAAATAAAATGATAGGATTTTGGAAATCATCTGGGACAGGGTTTTCAAACTGGGGTGTGTAAAGACTTTCCAAAGGCAAGCATGACAAGGTTTTAAAGAGATCAGTTTCCAGATCATCAATTACCCTGTGTACTTTTTCATGGTATTGAAAGTTAGCCTGTCATGTGGTTCTGCTCCCTATTTACAAGCATTTTCATCTTATTTTACAAATGAAAAACATCTCCCACCCATTCTAAGTCAATATGAAGCATTTCTCTGTGTTGTAAAAATCTCTGGGGCTCCAAAAAAAGAAACAATTAGAAATACTGTTTTCAATGTTAAGATAACGAATGATTCTAACAGCTGGGTAACAAATTCTTAGCAATTCAAAGTTTACAATTGAGCAAAATTAAAGGTAAATTCAATTGAGTTTCCAGCTAATATCATTAAAATACACTTGTATGAAAGATCAATTTGTGATTTTCAGATTATAACTTGAAAGAAGTTTAAATAAGTTAGTGACAATTCCGTAACAAATCTTTCATTCCTATCCAAGTTTTCTCAGAACTTACTGTAAAAACAAGAAATGTAAATTGAACTGTTGTTGCTGATCCATCTCATTCTAGCAATAATTTGTTCACTTACTGAACAAATGTGTTAAGATAATGCTTCACTGTCCCACTCATTGCATTAAGATATATTTCTAATCAAGTATTATGGTTATGCATTATTTATAAGAATTGCAATGATGTTGTTAGATTTAATTTGATACTACTAGTAATTACAATTATAACTTTATCTTTTTTTTTTTTTTTTTTTGAGACCAAGTCTTTCTCTGTCGCCCAGACTGGAGTGCATTAGTATGTTCTCAGCTAACTGCAACCTCCATCTCCCGTGTTCAAGCAATTCTCGTGACTCAGCCCCCAAGTAGCTGGGATTACAGGCGCTTGCCACCACGCCCAGCTGCTTTTTATGTTTTTAGTAGAGATGGGTTTTCACTATGTTGGCCAGGCTGGTCTTGAACTCCCAACCTCAAGTGATCCGCCTGCCCCAGCCTCCTAAAGTGCTGGGATTACAGGCATGAGCCACCATGCCTGGCCTATAATTATAACTTACTCCTGAAGCTGTTTCTTAACACAATCTGTCACAAAAATAAATACTTCTTTTAAAAAATTGACTTATATAGATAAACTGATTCAAGGAAATTTGACAGTGATTAATAAAAGACTTTCAAGCATACCCATATTTAAGGTAATAGATTCTGGAATGAAATTTAGAATGCTAGTTGATAATTATGGAGTGTTCTCTTGGGATCAACATCTGTGAGAAGGAGAGCTGGATTAGGCAGAGGGAGAAGTCACCCTGCAATGCCAGCTCAAGGATAGCCTTGGCTAAGCCTATAAGGAGGTCTGGAATAGTTTCTCAGAATTGTCCCTATTTTAGACTGAGATGTCCAGGTCTCTATACCCTCACATCAATCAGTCACTGAATGTGTGGCATTCTAGGAAGGGACATGACCTTGAGCAAAGGGGCTGTCTACAGCTGAGGCAATCCTTGAAGGGGCTGACAGATGAAGGTTGTCTGCAGAGAGCCTTCCCTGCAGCTGGAGCAAAAAGTCCCTCATTGGCCATGAACCTGGACAGCTCATCCTAGTGCCCAGTACAAATATATTTTACTTTACAGTAAAATTCTGTGAGGGAAGGTGGACAATATACAAGTTCAAGAAAAAAAAAAAAGATGACAGAATTTTGACTGTAAAGAAGAGCATGTTCATGTATTTTTTAAAATTGATGATGTTGAATAGTAAATAAATACAGTATTTAAATTCCTTTGGATTGATATAAAAGTTATATACAATTTCATCTAAAAATGTTAATATTTATAGTAAGCTAGATATTACATGCTTTGCAGCTACTTAAAGGTATGATAAAATATTTAAAATTTTAGATGAAGGGGTACATTGCCAACATTAATTTACGGAACAGGTGAGCAAAAAAATCTTGGAAGGTCACTGATTTAATCTAGCAGGTCATTTAGCAAATGAGAATATTGAGACTCAAATATGATATAAGATTTGCACATCATCACATTAATGATTGAAATTAGACCTATGAACCAGTGATGTTACCTGTCTATTTTTCTTTACTTGGTAGTTGTTAAGAACCATTAAACTGCTCCCTGTGAACACACTCTGAAGAAAGGAAAGATCTCATTAAGGGCTTCTTAGCCTAGGGTATCTGGAACCCTTCATGTTGCGTGCCGCAATGTGTATATGTATAATACTTTTCTGTGGGAGAGTGCTTCTGTAGCTTCAGCTTCATAGCCACTAAATGTGGGACAAATACAAACAAATATTACTTAATTCATATGCTTCTAGCCCATCTAATTCCATTCTCAATTTAAATTCATTTTTCCCTTGAATCTCCTCTTCGGAGCTCATGCATTTCTGACCTTCTTGTGTGCTCTAACCTCCTCCTCCTTTCAAAAATGTCCAACAGTCCCCGTGCAGAAAAACCTCCTTGTTTTACATCTGACTTACATGAAGTCATTCCTGATCTCAACAGGGCGATCTAGTGTATGTTAACTATGCACGAACTGAAGACTTCTTTACATTGGAACGGGACATGAAAATCAATTGCTCTGGGAAAATTGTAATTGCCAGATATGGGAAAGTTTTCAGAGGAAATAAGGTAAAAAATCATCTTTTTTTCCTCTCCCTCATAGTGGGTTTTACATGTGTAGAATCATTTTCTTAAAACTTTATGAATACGATGATTTTCTTGTATTCTGTGATGTGCCCATGTTACAGAAAGGTCGGCATAAAGCTTACATTTACTAGGTTATATCCCAGGGTTAAATTTGATCATTGGAATTTGGCCAGTGCAGATGGTTAGGGTGAACAGAACAAATTTTTCTGTGCTTACAGGTTATGCCTGGGGCCTACAAAGAAACATACACTGGGTTTATTATTAAGTTTCAGTATTTTTGTTTTAAATATTTTCTACAAAAATATTTACTAAATTAAATTGTAGTATGAATTGTTATGAATAATGAGGGAAACAATTTACACATAGCAAATTTAAATATTACTCTCATTTTATTTGTTAATAAATATATTTTTCTTTTTAGTGGGAAATTAAATTTTAAAAAATTCCCTTCCGACTACAGAACAAATAGGAATTTGGCCTGTGGGATCTACTTGCTTATTATATGTCTAAGCTAGAGGAAGGAAAAAGCAAATACTCACTACCACTAGTAAGAACATTACCAAATCTGACGCTCTGAGGATTTCTGGAGCTTATAGTAGCAAAAAGAAAAGGGAAATTCTCTCTGAGATATCCTTTGTTGTAGGCCTAATGACAAAAGTTTGAAGATAAAGTTCTACTACTTATTTAGGTGTAATATTGAAAACTGATGTTACCGAATCTGGAACAACCAGTTTAAAATAAGGAAAGAAAGATACTGTGTTTTCTAGGTTAAAAACGCCCAGCTGGCAGGGGCCAAAGGAGTCATTCTCTACTCAGACCCTGCTGACTACTTTGCTCCTGGGGTGAAGTCTTATCCAGATGGCTGGAATCTTCCTGGAGGTGGTGTCCAGCGTGGAAATATCCTAAATCTGAATGGTGCAGGAGACCCTCTCACACCAGGTTACCCAGCAAATGGTGAGTGATCAATCCTTGAATATAACAGGAAACTTAACATTTGAAAGAGACTTTATTATAGAATTTCCTTTGGCACAATGGACTAAGCATGTCTTTTTTTATTCTCTTTGCATTTAAGAATGAAAGAATTTTGAACTCTAAAATGATTGGTTCAGGTCCCTTACCCCCTTATTTGGAAACTTAGGCCTGGTGGGTTTTCGAATTCAGACTTTTTCAGATATTTAAAAAATATTACAGTGTTCGACATATACCATAACTTGCATAACAGTGACATGGGGGGCTGGGACAGAATATGAGGAAAAAGCATATAAATATTTTTGCTGCAGAGTGTATGAATACTTACACTAAGTAGTAAGTGGGGGGTGGGAAATAAGGAATATAAATAGGCTTATGTCTGCTCAAGTTGAATTTTGCTTTCAAATGAGTTCAGCTCAGATCAGGTTTTGCTGTTAAATAAATTCCCCCCAGATTTACAGATTTCACAGTGTTTTTGGATTTCACAGTTGTGGGTAAGGAACAGGAGAGCAGAAGTTCCATAAACTTGTTAAATAGCCAATTTAGGATATAGAGCCCAGGAAATGCATATTGCTTCATTGCTATAAGATAACAGAGATAACTTCAAAAGAGTGTTTCCTAAATGGCAGCATTTTACTTGCATTAACAACCCTAAAGCTAGGGGATGTTATTATCTCTTATTTGACAGGGGAGGAAAGTGAGACTAGAAGTCAGCCCAAGATCACCCCTCCTCTAAATGAGCAGTTGGATTCAAATTCAGACAGTCTGGCTCAGAGTCCACATACTAGTCCTATGCTGAAAGGCTCCCCTGTAAAACATTAACAAAGGGAGCTGATTTATTTTGAATGTGCTCGACTATTTGATGATGTTTACAAAAATCTGTGATCATTAAGTTTGTGTGGTTTAAAGCTAACTAAATTTTTAAAACTTGTGTGAAATACTTTACCAAGTTATCTGTGACGTTTATGTTTTCATCTGGTTTTACTCTTAAATCATAGACTCCTGTAAAGATTATATATGGTTTTTTTTTTTTGGCTTTGTAAATCTTAGAATGTAATATATTGTCAGAATTTTTTTTTCTTTTTTAAAAAATGATACATATTACCCTATAGCAAAATTACATAAATATACCTGAACTTTATTTACTCCACCTTTTATTTCCAAGTTTTAAAAAATGCAGCTTAGCCTAAGCTTCATTAGTTATGCAAAGTCAAAATAATGAAAATAAAATGAGATTAACTGGAATGTTTCTGTTGATTTTCTTCAGATTTGAATGATGGTATTTCAGGGAGAAAATTATGTTATTTCTACGAGACTAATGTTTATTGAATTATTTTTTGGGGGCCCTATACATTTTTATTTTCCTTCTAATTTTACTTTTTATTATGGCATAATTCTAACATATATGAAAGTAGAGACAGTTATCAACATGTTGTCAATCTTGTTTTATTTATCATTCCAATTTTTTACTATTATTCTAGAGAATTTGAAAACAAATCCCACACAACATATTATTATGTCATTTTATGCACAAAAAGAATACGGATTTGCAGTTACCTAAGTTTCTTATTAGATTGTTTTAAAAACACACAGAAAAAAAAAGGAAAAACAGCTCTAATTTTTCTTAAATCTGAAGAAATTATAGAATGTGTGTGCTTATTTTGAGGTAGAGTTTACATGCAATGAAATACATAGATCTTAAGAGTTCAGTTCAATAAATTTTGCGAATTGCATGTGTTTATGTCACTAAAAATAGGATATAAGGGCATTTCCATCACTCTGGAAAGTTCTTTTGTACCCCTTTCAGGTCAATTTTCTCTGTGTCCCCTAGAAGCAATCACTTTCTAATATCTAGCATCGTGTATTAGTTTGCCTGGGTTTGAACTTCAAGTAAATGGAATCAAACAGTAGATTTTTTTTTAAAGCTTTGTTTATTTCAGTGTAGTAATTTGAGATTTTCCATCACATTGTATGTATTAGTTTTTTTCTTTCAATGATTGAGTAGCATTCCATTGTGGGATTATACTATGGATTGTTTATTCATTCTTCTGTTAGAAACCTGGACTTTGTCTAATATTTGGCTAATATAAATGTGACTGTTATGAACAATTTTGTACACGTCTTCTTGTGGGCATGTGCTCATCTTTCTAGAGTAAATACTCAGGATTGGAATTGCTGTGCCGTAGTGTACATTTCTGCTTGACATTGCTTTTCAAAAGAGTTATCTTAAGTGATTGTATAATTTTAGACTAGACTCACACAAGCAATGTATGGGGATTTCAGTTGCTCTGCATTCTCGCTAACATTTGAACTGTTAATCTGTTTTACTTTAACAATTCTAGCAAATGTGACATTAGAATGTATTTAATGTGATTTACAGAGAACCATTTGAATGAAACTCAGTTTTTACTGGAAATATGGCAATTTTTTTTTTTTCTCAGAATATGCTTATAGGCGTGGAATTGCAGAGGCTGTTGGTCTTCCAAGTATTCCCGTTCATCCAATTGGATACTATGATGCACAGAAGCTCCTAGAGTAAGTTCGTAAGAAACAATGGATGGCTGTTTGGGTAATTTTCATTATTGATAGTTTTCAAATGTTAGCCTTTTATCTCCATTTTTTAGTACTTAAATTTTCCAACATGGGTGCTGCTTGTAATTTTATCACTATAAAATAGAATAGTGGTTCTGTTCTGGAATTTAGTATATACGTGAGTATCTAGTGTATGACAGCCATGAAAATGAGCCTTTCAGATATGTAACTGTAGAGAGCCTAATTGATCAATTGCTCCAGATGCTGTGCTTTAAAACCCCACTCTATTTGTGTCAAGACCGTGCTTCCTGTAGTTCTTCTCAGGCAATGACTGAGTGTGGCAAGGATACTACTACAGGCCTATTTCTGGAAGGCATGGGACTCCTCTGATGCAAAAGTTTAACCCAGGGACTCCCTGATAGCCTGGCTCAAATAGATGCTGCACCCCACACTCCTCTTTCTTTTCCTCCTCCCTTTTTCCTTTATTCAATATTAGACCTACCTTGCAGTCTAAGGATTTTCTCGGGGTTTCCTAGCTCTCTCCTCATTTTCCACACATGCTTTTCCCTAGTAAATCTCTTACTCATGTGTTCCTCTGACTAAGTCTGAGAGGACCCAGAATTACACACTATGAGAGCCACTTCCATTTTGTTTATATCTCTATTCTTCTTCTCCTTCTGCTTTCATTATCGAAATTTTCTGCTTTCAGTATCAAAACTTTCCCAGATTTGTTCCACTTAACCTGGCATTGGAACTGTTTCCTCTTTCCTGTGCTTCTTTCTCCCATTGCCATGTCCTTTTTTTTTTTTTTTTTTTTTTTTTGAGACAGAGTCTCACTCTGTTGCCCAGGCTGCAGTACAGTGGTACAATCTTGGCTCACTGCAACCCCCACCTCCTGGGTTCAAGCAATTCTCCTGCCTCAGCCTCCTGAGTAGCTTGGATTACAGGTGCCCACCACTATGCCCGACTGATTTTTGTATTTTTAGTAGAGATGGGGTTTCACCATGCTGGTCAGGCTGGTCTTGAACTCCTGATCTCAGGTGATCTGCCCACCTCAGCCTCCCAAAGTGCTGGGATTACAGGCGTGAGTCACCATGCCCAGCCAGCATTATTCTTTAGAGGTGAGAGAACACTGACTTTTCTAAAAGTGAAATTGATAGATACCAAAGCATCTGGCCAGTTAGTCCCTTTTCTTCTTTGAGTTCAAGCATTTCTTAATCATTTTATTCCAATATTTATGAGGAAGCACTTTTTGACCTAGGACAAGGCAGTCAGTTTCAGAGGTGAGGAGCCAGACATCTAGGGAGTAGGATGCATCTGTTCAATTTAAGGGCAGATTGAGAAAGTACCCTGGTCTTTCTTCCTTGGGGCTATAAACTTTACTACATTGTTTAAGATTCAGGACACAGGCACAACTTTTGATAGCACCATAGACTATGCATTTGCCTAAAAATACGTTTAAATAAAGACTAAGTATTCATGATATTTAAAAGATAAAACTCATTTTAGCATTACTTGTAATAGTGGAAAACTGTAGACAACATAGATCTTCAACAATTGATATGTACTCAAATATTAATGACTATGATAGTAAATGAAGTGATTAAAAGATATTATATGTTGTACCAGAATAATTAATAATATAGAAAAATGCTTATGATATACTATTGAATGAAGAAAAGCAAATTTCAAAACTCTCTCTCTATATATAGTATTATCTTAGTTATATAAAAATTTAAAACATGGGGCTGGGCGCTGTGGCTCATGCTTGTAATCCCAGCACTTTGGGAGGCCGAGGCGAGTGGATCATGAGGTGAAGAGATGGAGACCATCCTGGCCAACATGGTGAAAGCCCGTCTGTACTAAAAATACAAAACTTAGCTGGACATGGTGGTGATTGCCTGTAGCCCCAGCTACTCGGGAGGCTGAGGCAGGAGAATCACTTGAACCTCGGAGGCAGAGGTTGCAGTGAGCCGAGATCACGCCACTGCACTCCAGCCTGGGCAACAGAGTGAGACTCAGTCTCAAAAAAAAAACAAAAAAAGTAAAACATGAACCTGTATTATCTTTGTAATTAGAAAAAAAGGATGCATAATATCATGGAATTAGATGTGAGATTTATTTAAATGTTTACAATTTGGTCTGGTTTACTAGGTCAATATCACCTGTGCTCTGATTGTGTAATGGAATTACCTGATTGAAAAATTACAAATGTAATTCATCTGACATTACTGTGTCAGCCTCTATAAGCCATTTTACAAATACAATCACCATTAATAACATAACTTTCATGGAAAAGTGCATTTTACATTCAAAATTTCATAATTAAAAATAGGCATTTCTATTTATCCACTTTCTAAGCCATAATGAAATAGTCCATATAAGTGTAATTTAGTTTTTAGAAATTGTTTAAAAGAACATATGGTTTGCTTATGAATTTCACTGTGAAAATTTACTCTCTTTGCACATGTACCTTGGGAGTGTGCCAAGCTACTCAACTCTCAGGTTCTCTCAAGTGGGTAGCAGTTTAGCATTGTGCATTGAATAGAAAAGACAGTGTTTTACAAATGGAATATATCATGAAATAAAAGTTTATTAATACATGTGTGAGAAAATGAGGAGAGATATAAAGTTATATAATGGTCCAAGAATGCTGAGAACTTAAATAAAAAATTGATGAAATGTGAGTGATGGTAAAAACTTTATGTTGACTTGAGTGGGAGAGAAAGGAGACACCATGTATGTTTTTTCCTATTTTTCTTTACATATATACTGAACACAGTGTGATTATGCGGTTTTAATTTGTCTTCTAGAGTAACTTCTAGGATGATAATTATAGTGCCAACAGTAACAGTAATAGCAGGTATCCTGCATGGAGTGCTAATTATGCTTTAGCACTTACTGTTGTGCTAAATGCTTTACATACATCTCCTTAATTAACCTATAAAACAACTATATGAGTTACTATTGTGATACTCATTTTAACCAATGTTCAGAGAGTAAGTGAGAGAGCCGGGACCCAAATTCATGTCTGATGCAAAAGATACTTTGGTAAACACTATTTACTCTCTACTCAACTAAACAAGCATTTAGTAGCCACCTCTATTGATTATAGTGTTGTCTCATTCTTATGTCTCTGCTCAGGAGACCTTTAATGCCTTCTCACAGCCCACTCACTCAAGGAACATTTATAGAATGACTTTTATATTTCAGCCACTGCGGTAAAGGTAAGAATTAGGTAAAGATAGTAGTAATATACTCTCCTGTATTCTTGATTTTAGTAATTACAGTCTTCCCTTTTTAACTTGGTCAGTCTAACTAATGGTTTGCTAATTTTGTTGATCTTTTTTTAATTTTTTATTATTATACTTTAAGTTCTAGGGTATATGTGCACAATGTGCAGGTTTGTTACATATGTATACATGTGCCATGTTGGTGTGCTGCACCCATTAACTCATCATTTACATTAGGTATATTTCCTAATGCTATCCCTCCCCCCTCCCCCCTCCTCACAATAGGCCCCAGTGTGTGATGTTCCCCTTCCTGTGTCCAAGTGATCTCATTGTTCAATTCCCACCTATGAGTGAGAACATACGGTATTTGGTTTTCTGTTCTTGCGATAGTTTGCTGAGAATGATGGTTTCCAGCTGCATCCATATCCCTACAAAGGACACAAACTCATCCTTTTTTATGGCTGCATAGTATTCCATGGTGTATATGTGCCACATTTTCTTAATCCAGTCTGTCACTGATGGACATTTGGGTTGATTCCAAGTCTTTGCTATTGTGAATAGTGCCGCAATGAACATACGTGTGCATGTATCTTTATAGCAGCATGACTTATAATCCTTTGGGTATATCCCCAGTTATGGTATGGCTGGGTCAAATGGTATTTCTAGTTCTAGATCCTTGAGGAATCGCCACACTGTTTTGCACAATGGTTGAGCTAGTTTACAGTCCCACCAACAGTGTAAAAGTGTTCCTATTTCTCCACATCCTCTCCAGCACCTGTTGTTTCCTGATTTTTTAATGATTGCCATTCTAACTGGTGTGAGATGGTATCTCATTGTGGTTTTGATTTGTATTTCTCTGATGGCCAGTGATGATGAGCATTTTTTCCTGTGTCTGTTGGCTGCATAAATGTCTTCTTTTGAGAAGTGTCTGTTCATATCCTTTGCCCACTTTTTGATGGGGTTTTTTTTTTCTTGTAAATTTGTTTGAGTTCTTTGTAGGTTCTGGATATTAGCCCTTTGTCAGATGAGTAGATTGCAAAAACTTTCTCCCATTCAGTAGGTTACCTGTTCACTCTGATGGTAGTTTCTTTTGCTGTGCAGAAGCTCTTTAGTTTAATGAGATCCCATTTGTCAATTTTGGCTTTTGTTGCCATTGCTTTTGGTGTTTTAGACATGAAGTCCTTGCCCATGCCTATGTCCTAAATACCTAGGTTTTCTTCTAGGGTTTTTATGGTTTTAGGTCTAACATTTAAGTCTCTAATCTGTCTTTTTAAAGAATCACCCTTTGTTTCATTGATTTTCTCTATTCTCTATTTTATTATTTCTCTTTCAATCTTTGTAATTTTCTTTCTTATGCTTTCTGAATTTAGTTTAGTTTTCTTTGTCCAGTTTATTAAGGTGAAAGCTTAGCTTACTGATTTGAGATCGTTCTATATAGGTGTTTACAGCTATGCATTTTCCTTTAAGCACTGCTTTTGCTGCATCTCATAAGTATTGGTACATTGTGTCTTCATTTTCATTCATCTCAAAGCATTTTTAAATTGTATTTCACAGAATTTTTCTTTGACCCATTGGTTATTTAGGAGTTAGTTGTTTAATTTCCATGTATTTGTGAATTTCCTAAATTTACTTTTGTTATTGATTGCTAAATTCCTTTTATTGTGGTTGGATTAGTAAAAGAAGTATATGAGTAATAAAATGATTGTATAATTTCAACCTTTTAAATTTATCCAGACTCATTTTACAGCCATGATTTATTATGAAAAGTGCTCCATGTGCACTTGAGTTACACTGTTTTTCAATTTCTTTCTCAAGGAAAGTTAGCCATTTTATATCCCAGCCAGAATAGTCACCATGCCTTACACTTGCTCTTTGCTTGCCCGCCTCTGTGCCTGGAATGCTCTTCACCCTCATTTTTCCATGCCCAGCCCTTATTCATCCTTTAAAATCCAGATCAAGTGAAACCTTCTTTAGAAAGTAATTCCTGATCTCACAAGCTGAATCAAGCTTTCTTTTGTCCACATTTTTTAGAACTTTACCTTTGATCTGTCATGTTCTGTTTTGTATTATGATTGGTTTTATATGTATTTTCTTCTGAGTGATTTATAAACTCTTTGGTGGAAAGACTGAGTCTTGTATATATTTATATTTTTTAGTGAATAAAACACAGTGCCTTAAACATAGTAGACAACAAATCTTCTCCAAATGGTCAAAATTGATATACTACAAGATACAGAATTATAAACTCAATACTGTCTATACATTAATTACTGGGCATCTACAGTCTACCAAATATGTTCAGAGATATTTTCCAACGTTTATTTGTACTTTCTAATATTTTTGTGGTTTGAAATTTTAATATTCAACTTTTAAATATTTGTGGAATTTATTTTTTATTTATAAAGTGAGAAAAGGACCTAAAGAGATTTATACCTCAGTAACATTTTTCAACTGAAACTTCTATTCTCCACGTATGTGTATTATTTTTTCATTGGTATATTAGATTCTTATATATAACTATTATTATGTTCTCTTCTAGTCATTTGTTTACCTCTCCTTGTGGGGACACTACAATCATGGCTTTATATTATATTGTTTTATGGGAATATGGACTATTAATTTTTATTTTGAAAAGGAAATACATTTACAAAGTTCACAATTCAAAGGGATTTATAGTAAAGTTTTCCTCTCATCCATTTACACCCCCAAAGCAACTGATGTTATTAGTTTATAGTATATTAGCATAGCTCTCTGCTGCAGAGAGAGGTCCTGGAAAAAAGTGTGTTGCTGGTCCACTGCAAAATGCAGAGGGTTTTATAGATGAGATGGTGAAGAGGTGATGTCTGATTTATATAAGTCATGGAAAAACTGGTTAGACCAGGTGTGCCATTTGCATAGGGTGTGAATTTCTGGTAGCCCCACCCTAATCTTTTTTTATTCAGGTAAGCTTTCTGCCTGAGCTGCGCCATGTTGCTCATTTCTCTGTTACTGTGCATGTGGTAACAAAAACAGGGAAGATGGACCCTCCATATGTACATACCTGGCCCCCAGGTAATAGCCTTTTTTTTTTTTTTTTTTTTTGTGAGATAGAATTTTGCTCTTGTTGCCCAGGCTGGAGTGCAATGACATTATCTCGCCTCACCGCAGTCTCTGCCTCCCGGGTTCAAGTGATTCTCCTGCCTCAGCCTCCTGAGTAGCTGGGATTACAGGCATGTGCCGCTACCACACCCAGCTAATTTTTTTTTTTTTTTTTTTTTTTTTTTTTTTTTTTAGTAGAGACGGGGTTTCTCCATGTTGGTCAGGCTGATCTCGAACTCCCGACCTCAGGTGATCCGCCCTCCTCGGCCTCCCAAAGTGCTGGGATTACAAGCGTGAACCACCGCACCTGATCGCAGGTAGCCCTTTTCTATTGGCACAGCTGCCGGCATTCCCCTGCACTTTTCAGCTTGCTAATCTATGTTTGCAGCTACATTTTTCAGGCTGCTTTTTGTTAGAAAAAATAGTAATAATTTATTGGGCTACTTTTTGTTAGAAGGGAAGCTCTGCCAAGGACTCTATTGCCCCCATTGTCTGGAATATTCATTTAACGGGAGCAAAATGCCCGTGGTAGGCCCAAAGAAGTCTGTTTTTGCCTTACAGCTGAATTTTTATAAAAATGTAGTTACAATTAAGGTAGAGATTATTCAGTTTGAACAGTCTTTTAAGTTTGTCTGGAAACACATTCGTCTCTCAGTAGCTATTTAGTAAAAGTATATTGTTTTACATGCCCCAATCAAGAATAAGTTAATCCATCATCTTAATACAGTAAAGGCAGATATGCTGAAGTGAAACTACAAGAACCCCACCATTTCATAAACATTACCATGTTTTCTTTCTCAGTAATCTGCTGAAAGATAACCAGGGACCATGGCATGTACTGAATGGTCTGCCTGAATCTTTATTTCTTAATTTTAAAAAATAGCGTTGAAGTTTTTAGGGGCTTCTGAAATGAAATCCTTTCAAAAGAAAGGATCCTCCTGTCTTCTTAGTAGATGTGTATGAAAGTACTTTGTAAAAAATTACTATATACCAGTGAGACAAATAACAATGGAAAATTTCAGAGAGTTAGACATCAAGCTCTTTCTTCAGCACATGCTCTGGAAAGCACTTTTAGATTTACTACTAGATACTGGTAACACAGATCAAATTCTTATCAATAATTTGAATCTTAATTATACCATTTACTAGTTGCATGACTTTGGGCATGTTATCTAATCTCTAAGCCTCCTGTGCCCCATCTGTGAAGTGGAGGAAGCTATTCCTCAGAATTGTGGTAAGGTTTAAATGACATATTTTATTCAAAGCACTTTGTACTCATTAAAGATATTATGAGCAGATTCTCAATAAAGTGAATCCATTAACATTTTAATGTGTTACTTCAGGTTTTTTTTTGTGGCTAATCATGTTTTTTTGTGTCCAACAGAAAAATGGGTGGCTCCTCACCACCAGATGGCAGCTGGAGAGGAAGTCTCAAAGTGCCCTACAATGTTGGACCTGGCTTTACTGGAAACTTTTCTACACAGTTAAGAGACTATTTTAATTTTAACTCTTTTAAGGGGGAGCCTTAAAGAAAAAAATACTAGGCCAGGCGCGGTGGCTGACGCCTGTAATATGAGCACTTTGGGAGGCCGAGGTGGGAGGATCACGAGGTCAGGAGATTGAGACCATCCTGGCTAACACGGTGAAACCCCTTCTCTACTAAAAATAGAAAAAAATAGCCGGGCGTGGTGGCGGGCGCCTGTAGTCCCAGCTACTCGGGAGGCTGAGGCAGGAGAATGGCGCTAACCCGGGAGGCGGAGCTTGCAGTGAGCTGAGATCGCGCCACTGCACTCCAGCCTGGGCGACAGAGCCAGACTCCATCTCAAGAAAAAAAAAGAAAGAAAAGAAAAAATACTATAGAGGATGACAGAAAAAGTAAAGTTTATGTAATACCAGCAGGAAACAAAACTGCAAGTTAGAACCAGTGTAATTTTTGCCTGTGAACAATTAGACATCTTTAAACAAGATTGAAGATTTAAAAATTATGGGTGTTGTTGGAACTCAGAAAATGGATAACCCAAAGTATGGTGTTCTGGCATGCTGAGCACTTTGAACTAAAGGATAAAAGTCCTTAGATGCAGCTTCAGAATCAATAGTTCTGACCTCCTACTTCACCCTACAAGAGCAGAGTGGAAGTTTCTCTCTGAAGTTCCCTTATCTGAAGCTCCTGTAGAAGGAAGACAATGACTTTCTTTCCCCTCCCTGAAATTTTATTGACCAGGGAAGATTGAACTCATATAATAGGAAGGAAGACTGAGGCATATCACTTTACACAGGCCTTGTCACAAGCTGTTGACTGTTCTCTAGTTCCATTCAAATTCCAAAGAGAATTATTTACAAACTATTGCCTGCTCTTCGGGTCCATTTAACTCTCTTGAAAATCGTTTACCATCCCTCAAAACCACCTGCAGTCCCCCACTTCCCCCTCCCCTGTGAAGAGGGTGCCAGTTAAACTTCAGCCATTTGGCCTTTGTTTGAGTCTCACATTTTGTTTGGCTCCTGTATACACTGGTGTGTTAATAAGTTTGTATGCTTTTTCTCCTGTTAATCGATTTTCAGTTTATTTTACCAGATTTGAACCTTCAAAGGCAGAGGGGAAAATTCCCTTAACCCTTATAGTGTTAATCTGTTAACCAGTTTTGTTTTTTTTTTAAAGAATGTCTTTTATCTTTGCATTAGAAAAGTCAAGATGCACATCCACTCTACCAGTGAAGTGACAAGAATTTACAATGTGATAGGTACTCTCAGAGGAGCAGTGGAACCAGGTAAAGGAATCATTTGCTTAGCAAATATTGATCAAGTAACTGTTATGTGCTGGATACTGTCAACCTCTGGGAGTGCAAAGTGAATCAAAACAAACAAACAAACGAACAAAGAAAACCAGTGGAACTCACCTAAAAACAAAATAAATAAATATGAAATAATTTTGTATTGTGGTACAGGTGGTGAAGAAAAGTGAATGTTTGGTGCTAGGCTGGGCAAATGACCAAGGCGAATGATAAACTGGGCAGGCCTCAATTAAAGGATCAAGGGAAGCAGGGTAGGGAAAGATGCGTTTTTTTCTGAGTTTTCTGAATTTTTTTTTTTTACTATATATTTTGCATAGGGAAATATCTTCATGATAACTATAAACATCTATATAAAATATCACACGCTTAGAAAATTAAGATAATCTTGTATTAATGAATCCTTTGCATAGTTTTATTTTCCACAACTAAAGCCACTGATAAAATATATGGACATATGATTTCCATAGAAGTTCGGATGATCTACTAATTAATGCATTTTATACATAGTCTTAGTTCATGAAGTCTCAGTTTCTTATGAACTATTTGGTTCCATATTTCTTACCAAAACAGATACTATTAAATGTATATTAAACATATTAATTGCATGTTTCTTATGAGCAGTGATTTATTTTAGATCAAGAATATTGATATCCTTGTTGTTTGCATATTCTAATGAGTACTAAGCAATATATAAGTGGCTATTATTGAATAATACTGAGTACCTATTTTGTGCCAACTCTGTGATAAGCATTGGAGATGGGGAGACAAAAGAAGACACAGACCCGAGACAAAGAGCTCACAGTTTGTGAAGGGAGCCATATACTTAAGGGTGATCAGTGCTTTATTACTCCTGAGAGCTGGGTAGGCAGAGAAATTCCCTCTTCTATAGAAAATAAAAAAGGTTCATAGAGGGAGAACATATTTGAACTGTACCTTAAAAACTGAATAGAAAGAATAGGAATTGGAGAACTTCCTAGGTGGCCACTATGTTCTCTTATTTTGAATGAATTAGAAAGTGGTAAGTTAGGTAAGAGAGGAGTAATAGAGAATTACAAAAAATGTGAGTAAGGATAACATTAAGCTTTCTTAATTACTTATATGTAGTACTTATAATTATAGTAATACATTGAAATATATATTTGCTTTATCACATTTATGCTTTCTCAGATAGCAGAAACACATATTAAAATCAGAAATAACATATTTTCACAAATCTTAGGGAACCTAGCCTTTTTTTTTTTTTTTTTTTTTGAGTAATGAGTGCTTTGTATTTAGATGCTATTGAGTTGTTTGCAGTTTTCTCTTTTATTGACCCAGAATGACAAATAGTCTTGTATCGATGCTTTCTAGACAGATACGTCATTCTGGGAGGTCACCGGGACTCATGGGTGTTTGGTGGTATTGACCCTCAGAGTGGAGCAGCTGTTGTTCATGAAATTGTGAGGAGCTTTGGAATGCTGAAAAAGGAAGGTAATACAAACCAACAGCAAAAATGCCAACCTATCTGACTCTCAGTTTAGTCTTCAGTAAAGGGAGTATAAAAATACTACTTCAACCATTACATGTGTTTGGTAAAAATACCAATACAATTTTTAATATTGGTTGGTTAATTATATTATTTATTTTATTTTATATTTATTTATTTATTTATTTTTTTTGAGACGGAGTCACGCTCTGTCGCCCAGGCTGGAGTGCAGTGGCTGGATCTCGGCTCACTGCAAGTTCCGCCTCCCAGGTTTATGCCATTCTCCTGCTTCAACCTCCCGAGTAGCTGGGACTACTCGCGCCCGCCACCTCACCCGGCTAGTGTTTTTGTGTTTTTTTAGTAGAGACGAGTTTCACCGTGTTAGCCAGGATGGTCTCGATCTCCTGACCTCGTGATCCGCCCGTCTCAGCCTCCCAAAGTGCTGGGATTACAGGCTTAAGCCACCGCGCCCGGCCAATTATATTATTTATTTTTGCATTTATTTATATAACATTTATATTATTGATATTTATGTATTAAGTGATAATCTGAAATAAAGGAATTATACTGTTGATGGTTGTTCTTTGCAACTAAGAAGATGCAGATGGGTTACATCACTAGAGAAAACACACTGAAATTAGATTATAAGCCAAAGCTTCCTAGTTAGAGACTGTAAGCAGACGTTCCTCAGTCTCTTCTAACCCCAGACCTCAGGTTAAATGTATGGAGTAATTAAGGAGATAGATGTTCTGTTCAGAGAAATACTGGTCTTAGGTCTAATGGGATTCTGTCAAAAGTTTGGAATCTGTATTCTCATACCCTGAGCACGGGTGTGCTCTCACAAAAATTAGGTTTATACTCATAACATCATCACTTTGGCCATTTTAGAATCTTCATATGATAGTCAAAGTAAAATTTAGTTCAAATGTTTGCTCTTTAACATAATAATTGCACATTGAGAGCAAGAAGTTCATTCTGTTTATTGACCCTGCAAACAAGGTGTCTGGGGGCTGTAAAATATAACCTATACATTTGTAGCAACAATAAAAACAATAATATATGTTGTTTGCATAGTATTTACTTTTTTTGAGAAACTGTTTTTATATGTCCTATGTACTTTGAAGTCATAGCAACTAGGGAGAAGACATATTTATTTATCTTCTTATGTAACAGATAAGTTAACCAAGGTTTAGAGAATTCGAGAGTTTCCCCAGGATTACGTAGCTAGCATGTGGCAGAATAAGAGAATCAGGGTTTAAACTCCAATTTCTGACTACCAGTCCACAAAACCATGATGTCTCTATTTAAAATAAAATGTAAGGGTGCTCAGTTCTTTTTTCTACACAGCTATCTTATATTTGAAAAAAACAAAACAATGGAGACCTAAATTTACATAATTCACGAAGTAGGTAGTGTTTAATTTTGTTACAAAAATATTTCATAATTTTGCTAGGAAATCCCTGTGGTAACTATACAAAACATCACTGTGACAATTATAAAATATGCCAAAGAAATGGAATGCTGATGAATAATAATAGGAAATTTGAATAATACTATTGACAAAAACAAAGGACTAGAGTCAACAGCTATAGTGTATACATTCTTAAGCACACATGAATATTTACTAAGATGATGAGTACTCACAATTTTTGGGGCACCTACTCAGTGCTTTCTAAACATTATTCCATTTAATCCTCCTACAATCAAGTGGTGTCTTCATCTTTACTCTCTTGTTCCTGGTATACAGATGAAGAAATGGAAGTTTAGTAGGTTTGAATAACTTTCCCTTAGTCATGCTGCTAGTGAGAGAACTAGGGTTTGAAACAAGATCTTGCCTTAACACCAAGGTCAGTGTTTATAACCTCCAAGACACATCACCCCTCTATTGAATTATGTGGTTTTCAGCAACAGCAAACATTGCTGTTGCTAACTGAGCCCTTATTGATTAATTCTGGCAGAGAATGGAGTGAAATCATATGACCAGCTGATATTGAACAATTGTTTATTTGATATCAGAACAATAGGAAAGAGTTTCAAAGGATTTTCTTTCAGTTGTATCTGCTTTCAGAAGACCGAACACATCTAGAAATTTCTTTCTTTGTTCTAGGCAGTTGCAGACCATCAATGACTTCCTATGCATAGCCAATTATTATAAACCTATTAGATTGTTTTATGATCTTGCAAGATCTTCACTGTCACATTTCCCCCCTTTTCTATGTAATTGTACTATTTTGTATTGACAACATTTTAAAATCTTACAAAAGAAAACTACATAAGTAAAGATTTTTACCACAATTCGCCCTTCCCAAATAATCAATGACTGCTTTTTTGTTTTGTTTTGTTTTGTTTTGTTTCCATCTGGGCTTGGTAGTATCCTGGGTACATTATGAATTTTTTTCTAACATTTATATATACACATATATTTTAGGGTGGAGACCTAGAAGAACAATTTTGTTTGCAAGCTGGGATGCAGAAGAATTTGGTCTTCTTGGTTCTACTGAATGGGCAGAGGTTAGTTGATAATTTGCTATAATATAAATTTTTATAAAATAAATTAGCCGGGACTTATTTGCCAAGCACATAAAAATATGAAATGAATATAATAAGAAAATATTCAAAGATTTTTTTTTCCCCAAAACCTGAAGCAACATATTCTTGTTCAAAAATCAACAATAAAAATCTCTGTTGCTAAAGAACTAAGTTTTGTTTGAACTTTTAAGAGCCACTGAATGTCAATTGTCAAAATTATCTTTATTTCCTGGGAGTATGAGAGTAAATAAGCAGATATGCTAGAAACCAAACATCAAAACGAGTCAGTTTCTTAACAATAAACATGAACGACCTAACAGACTTTTCCGTGAATATCTTCCCATAAACATGACATTTAAAGGGAGATTCTTCTCTGATTTGAAGGGAATGAAGCTATTTCAAATTTATGAAAAATATGAGGTTAAATTGTCTCTATTTCCTGACCATGAAGTCAAATTCTCCTGTATCATGTTTGATTTCTGTCATGATTCTATTACGCTTTCCAAAATATCTCCTAAAGCTAAATACATTTTTTTCTTTTTTTGAGATGGAGTCTCACTCTTGCCCAGGCTGGAGTACAGTGACGTGATTTCTGCTCACTGCAATTTCAGCATCCCTGGTTCAAGCGATTCTCCTGCCCCAGCCTCCCGAGTAGCTGGGATTACAGACCACCACACCTGGCTAAATTTTGTATGTTTAGTAAGACAGGGTTTTGCCATGTTGGCCAGGCTGGCCTTGAACTCCTGAGCTTAAGTGATCTGCCTGCCTCGGCCTCCGAAAGTGCTAGAATTACAGGCGTGTGCCACCACGCCTGGCTGTAAGGTATCCTTTTCGTTTATCTTTCTTAATTCATAATGACCCTCTCTATATTAAATTATGTTAAAAGTAAGGCAGAAATTTCCACCACCGAATATTTACTAAGCCCTTTGAAAAGTAATTTTAACTGCATGTATTGTTGGCTTTATATAACAGAAATATTAGCTATAAGGTAAATATATGCAAAGTCAATATTTATTCCATTAATTGCCAGTCATGCTGTAAATACTTATTGGCTCCTTTCATGCTCCAGATACTATACGAAGCCCAGTAAACTTTAATTTTCTTTGAAAAAGTAAATGATGCTCTTGTAGACCTAGTCAAAGTTTTATAAGAAAGCATTACGCCAATATCTGGAAGAACCTAAATATTTTGATAGTGTGATTTGTGTCTTTCAAATTGTTTTTTTCACTTACATGCATTTTTTTCATTTTTTATCTTGTAGTCAGAATGCTTAGGAAATTACATATTTTAGAGACTCAGAATCCACATTGATATCTCAAAAAAACTTTGCTATGTGTTATTCTAAAAATGTGCAATTATCAATATTGACCAGGAGATGGTGCCATCCTACAGGAGAATCTGACTTCATGGTCAGGCGATGACTTAAGTTCACTTATTTTTCATAATATAAAATTTAACTTGAAATTTCATAAACTTAAAATACCTTCATTCCATATGAACCAGACAAGATTTTCTGCTTAAATAATGAGATGTTTATAGGAAGATCTTCACTGAAAAGTCTCAGGTCATTCATGTTTGCTAAGAAAATTTTTTGAAGGATAAACTACAGTTTGGTTAAGAAATTAACTCCTTTTCTACTTACCGTAAGTATATGGACAGTTTCATCTTAAATATTAGCTTTTAACAAGTTTTGCTTGTTGTTTCCTACCAGTAATCTTTATTCAAATTCTTTCAAAGCAGCTCTTTTATGAGAATTTCTTATGTCAAATTTGTCATTAATATGGATCAGCTCAATTAGAAGTCTACATACATTAAATCGTTAAATGTAGATGTGCATTTTGTGGGGGAGGGGGAGTGGGTTATAACTTTATATTTATGGTTTTCCTTTTTATTATAGGAGAATTCAAGACTCCTTCAAGAGCGTGGCGTGGCTTATATTAATGCTGATTCGTCTATAGAAGGTGAATATTGTTGGTCTCATAAGAAAAGATGTGATTAAACTAGGAACAGCAGTCTAGTTAAAAAATTATGCCCTAACAAGGAAGGCTATGTATTAACATGTGGTTGGGGAGTCTACTGCAACCTCTGACAGAAAGCAGTGTGTGAACCCTAGTTGAGAGTTGGGTGAGGCCAAGGTGAGCAAGTTTTTCTTTTCTTCTTTCCTTTCCTTTTCTTTTTGTTTTCTTTTCTTACTTTTTTTTTTTTTTTTTTTTTTTTGCTTTGAAGTATAGAGTACTAATTCAGAAAAGCAGCATTCTTTGATTAGCTTCATCTGGCAGATTTCTTTTTATATATGGCAGGAATTTAGTAAGTATCTGTTGAATGATTAAGTCAGGGACCTAAAGGTTCTATAATTTAGAATGATGTAGGAAAAAAGTATCATTTGTGGGGTGCGGTGGCTCACACCTGTAATTGCAGTACTTTGGGAGGCTGAAGTGGGTGGATCACTTCAGGTCAGGATATCGAAACCAGCCTGGCCAACATGGTAAAACCCTATAGCTATTACAAATGCAAAAATTAGCTGGGCGTGGTGGCACACTCAGTATAGATAATATACAAAATCAATCTTGAATTATAATTATATGCAGGTACTTTAGAAAGGGTAGGATCAAACCACTCTGGGAGTTCAGAGGAGAGAATAATAGAAACTTCAGGAAAGGCTTGAAAAATGGGATAGGCATTTGAGGCTGACTTTGAAGAATGGAAATACTTTTAATAAGCGAAGGACCAAACTAAAGGAAATCTCAGATTGATTTCCATGAAAATGAAAGAGTCCATTGTCACTACAATCCAGCTCCGCTAATATGTCTGTATCTTGACCATATGCAACATCCCAGCCATTTCACTCCTATTCTCTACACTCAGATTGCTCTTCAACACCTCTTTATCTGTTTAATCCTTATCCTTAGACCTTCCTTTGAAATGTTACTTTTTCAGGGAAGACATGTCTTTGTGGCACTCATCACTGTCATTATTAATTATTTGTTTTACAAGTAATAGACTGTATTCTTTAACAAGGAACAGACAGTATCTTACTTATTCACTCCTGGATTCCTAATGTCTTATTAAATAAATATTTGTGGCACGGTTGCAAAAAATAAAGGACTAAATGAATGAAGGGGGGATTTTTTAGAATATTTTCTTTAGTGTATTAGTAAATTTGCCATGTCAACAGTTGGAACATGAGACCTTGATAGAGTTACATTGGCATTTACATTTTCTTTTTCTTTTTTTGTTTTTTTCTTTGTTTGCTGGCTTGTTTTGAGTCAGGATCTCACTCTGCAGTCCAGGCTGGAGTGCCTGGAGCAATCATGGCTCACTAGTCTTGACCTCCCAGACTCAAGTGATCCTTCAACCTCAGTCTCCTTAGTAGCTGGGACTACAGGCAAGTGCCAAATGTCCAGCTAATCTTTGTATTTTTTTAAAATTTGTATTATTATACTTTAAATTCTAGAGTACATGTGCACAACGTGCAGATTTGTTACATATGTATACTTGTGCCATGTTGGTGTGCTGCACCCATCAACTCGTTAGCACCCGTCAACTCATCATTTACATCAGGTATAACTCCCAATGCAATCCCTCCCCCCTTCCCCCTCCCCCCTCCCCATAATAGGCCCCAGTGTATGATGTTCCCCTTCCCGAGTCCAAGTGATTTCGTTGTTCAGTTCCCACCTATGAGTGAGAATATGCGGTGTTTGGTTTTCTGTTCTTGCGATAGTTTGCTGAGAATGCTGGTTTCCAGCTGCATCCATGTCCCTACAAAGGACACTAACTCATCCTTTTTTATGGCTGCATAGTATTCCATGGTGTATATGTGCCACATTTTCTTAATCCAGTCTGTCACTGATGGACATTTGGGTTGATTCCAAGTCTTTGCTAGTGTGAATAGTGCCGCAATGAACATACGTGTGCATGTGTCTTTATGGCACCATGATTTATAATCCTTTGGGTATATACCCAGTAATGGGATGGCTGGGTCATATGGTACTTCTAGTTCTAGATCCTTGAGGAATCGCCATACTGTTTTCCATAATGGTTGAACTAGTTTGCAATCCCACCAACAGTGTAAAAGTGTTCCTATTTCTCCACATCCTCTCCAGCACCTAACACCATAAAAACCCTAGAAGAAAACCTAGGTAATACCATTCAGGACATAGGCATGGGCAAGGACTTCATGTCTAAAACACCAAAAGCAATGGCAACAAAAGCCAAAATTGACAAATGGGATCTAATTAAACTAAAGAGCTTCTGCACAGCAAAAGAAACTACCATCAGAGTGAACAGGCAACCTACAGAATGGGAGAAAATTTTTGCAATCTACTCATCTGACAAAGGGCTAATATCCAGAATCTATAAATAACTCAATCAAATTTACAAGAAAAAAAACCAGCAACCCCATCAGAAAGTGGGCAAAGGATATGAACAGACATTTCTCAAAAGAAGACATGCATACGCCAACAGACACAGGAAAAAATGCTCGTCATCACTGGCCATCAGAGAAATGCAAATCAAAACCACAATGAGATACCATCTCACACCAGTTAGAATGGCAATCATTAAAAAGTCAGGAAACAACAGGTAATCTTTGTATTTTTATTGGAGATGAGGTTTCACCATATTACCCAGGTTGGCCTCAAACTCCTGGGCTCAAGCTATCTAACCATGTTGGTCTCCCAAAATGCTAGGATTACGGGTCTGAGACACAGCTCCCAACCTTCATTTTCTTCTTTGTCAATGCCTCTGAGCTACACTGTTCTGAAAGTTAGCTTACACAGTGCATATAGTTATTCTTTTCTCCTTCTCTTAGGGTAGTGGCTAAGTGCCTGACCTTTGGCGTCAGATGCCTGGATTCATTCCTGGCCATGCAACTTCCTATTTGTGTGAACCAAGCTACTTACTTTTTGTGCCTCAGTTTTCTCACTTCTAAATATAACTTCTAAGAGCCCCTATCTCAAAGGCTCCTGTAAGGGCAAAAAAAAAAAAAAAAAATTCATTTGCAAATCTCCCAGACCTGTGTCTTGCACAGAGTAAACATCAAAAAATGTTAACTTTGATGAATATCATTATACCTACTTAAAACACATAATAAGGTCAAATATACATATATATTTGCCCACCAAGAATAAATACTCCAAATATATTTTCTTGAAATGTAGAATAACATTCTCTTTATTGATAGTTTTTTTCTGTTTTTTGTTTGTTTTTTTTCTTTTTTGTTCTTGTTGTTTTGAAATGAGATCTTGTAGTATTGCCCAGAGTGGTTTCAAACTCCTGAACTCAATTGATCCTCCCGCCTCCCAAGTAGCTGGGACAACAGGTGTGTGGCACCATACTTGGCCATAGTTTTTTAAGATTTGATATTTTAATGTATTTTAAAAACTCATTAAGCTTTGCTACTTATGTCATCCCTGGCTTGACATTGCTTCATTGTGTCTCTATAATTTTCAAAGTTGAGAACAAAGGGCAGCAGGTACTATATGATTGGGACACCATTCATCTCACTTTGTTTTATAGTTTTACATTGTATTAATGTTTCTTTCTCAAATAATACCAAAAATCATATATTCTGAAATTTCTACTATTAAAATGTAAAATTTACAAATAAAGCAAAACTCCCCAATGCAAACTACTCTCAAACTTAGTCCTCTCTCCAAAGGTACTACTGTACTCAGTTTTGGGCATTTCCATCATGTTGGCATTAATATATAGCATTTAGCTCCACAAAGCACCAAGAGTGTAGTGGGTGCTATCTCAGGTGCTTTACATGTAAAAAAATTATTCAGTACTCACCATAACCCTCTGAGATAAGTAGGTAAATGCTTTTATAAAAGAAGAAACTGACACTCAGAGAGGTTAAGTAACTTTCCCAGGGTCACACAGCTAGTGAAGGGTTGAGCTTAGACTCAAATCAGACTGGTCTGTTCCAACTTTACCCTTCTAACTACTACACTCTTTTGTCTCTCACCACCTTATACAGGTATTTGGTATCATATTACAGCTAAATGGTTCTACAACTTGCCTTTTTCATTCAGCAACACATTATGAAAAGCTTTCCATATCAGCACATATCTCTGTTTCGCTTAAAAAACAAACACTACCACCAGACAAGAAAAATCTACATTGTATTCAATAGGACAAATTCTGTATCAATTCTCTAGCTGCTGGACAGATTGTTTCAGTTTGTTGTAGTTAATATGCTTTTATTTGCATGTTTTTCTGTATGATGTGAGGAGAGGGTAGAGAGCTACAAGTATATTTATTTGGTTCTAGGATATGTGCATTTAAATTGTTATAAATGTTGCCAAACTATTCTCCTCCCCATTTCCACTCTTATAAGCACTTCTGTTTTAAAAATTACATTGGCTGTTTGTAGATATTTATTCTTCCAGATGAATTTTAGAATTCTAATATCAAATTTTTAAGTTGCATAAACAAGTCTGCTGAGGTGTCACTATTTTAAAAGCCTCTACTTTTACTGTTCTCAAGCATGGATCTTAGGCTTTGGGATAAAAGCGAGTTGCCATCCTCCGAGTGTTTCATGTGCTTTTACATTTCTGGGCATTTGCACAGGCTATGCCCTTAGCTGCAAATACCATTCCCCCTGCCCCCACCCCCAACTGTGTCCCGGTTCTAGAAAACCCAGTTCAAGAGTCCCCTCTCCAAGTTTGTGAAGTTGTCTTGACTTCCCTCCCCCAAAACTCCTCCTGAGTCGCACCCCCTCCCTGTGCTGAATTGGCTTCCCAAGAACACCTCTCCTGGGTGCTTCACTTGATTGTCACAACCACCAGCCCTTGACCTCCTGACGAATGGGGACTGAAACTCTAAGAAGAGCACCTGGTTCACAAATTCATTGTCCCAACAAATACTGATTGGATAAATGCTAAATTCTAGGATTGTTCTAAGCACTGGAGTATGGCAGCAAACAAAAGAGTGCACCTTCTCCCAGGGGACTTATCGTCTAGTTGGAGGGCCAATAAAAAAAAGACAAGTACTTAATATGTTTTATGTTAAATAGATGAGTAATATGGAGAAACATGAGCCAAGGTTAAAAGAGAGAGTGGCTAAAATTAGGGGGTAAGAGAGTGCTATTTTAGGTAGGGTGATAGGGGAAATCTCTCAGAAAAACATGACATTAGACCAGAGGAGGAGTAAGGCATGCAGATATAATGCAGAATACTGTTCCAGGCTGAAAGGACAGTGTGTGCAAAGATGCTGAGGGAGTATTCTTGGGCAGAATGTAAAATGCAGATTTCGAGAGGTGACCTGGGGTTTCATGTATGGCACTGTGGGCTTTGGTGAGGATGATGGAATTTACAGAGTTAGATGGGAAGCCATTGGAGAGTTATAGTTGAAATCGGGTTTTAAAACAACATTCTTGCTAGGAAGTTAGCAGTGGTCTTTGAAGAAAATAATAACAGAAAGAAATTAAATTTTAAAATCTATTCTTTTCTTATTTTTCAGGAAACTACACTCTGAGAGTTGATTGTACACCACTGATGTACAGCTTGGTATACAACCTAACAAAAGAGGTATATAAGTTCTACGAGTGATGTTTTCTTGAGGTATTATTCTGTTAAACATTGGTGTTGTTTTATAACCTCTTGTCTTCTTTTCATATAACAAATATGACATCCCATCTCCACAGACCATCACATCTAGTAAACTGTTTATACAGATTGCTTCATTTCTCACCACACCGCTGTGAGGTAGCCCATGAGTAGCATCATGTCTACCATCTCCATTCTTAAAACAGTGAAACTGAGCTCAAAGAACACTGGCCACCAAAGTCACACATAACTTGTACAGTAGCTGAACCAAGACTTGGTCCTATGGCTTAACTCCTTAATTTAAAAACTTCTTCATACTCTTCAGTATAGTGATACCAATTAATTCAGGACACAGGAATCATTAAATGTTCTAATTGATTGAGAAAGAAGATTCATAAGAATACCAGGTGCTGGCTTCCAGGAACAGAGGCTAGATGAGACCACAATTACATTTTTTCAGATAGGGATTATAAATAAAATTTAAATGCCATTAAGCTTTGGTTTCAAAAGAATGGAATGGAGGAGTGACCAAGATGACTGAATAGAAGCAACTATGGTGTGTGGCTCTCACAAAGAGAAAGGGAAAGGGCAAGTAAATACAGCACCTTCAACTGAAACAAACAGGTACTCTCATTGGGACTAATCAAGGAAACAACCCAACCAAAGGAGAATGGAGAAAAGCAAGGCAGGATGACAGCCCACCTGGAAATGACACAGAGTCAAGGGAACCTCCCCCATCCAGGAAAATGATGAGTGAATGTGCAACCCCAAGAAATCATGCTTTTTCCATGGATCTTTGCAGCCCTTAGGTCAGCAGATACCCTTGTGAACCCACCCCACCAGGGCCTTCAGTCTGACACACAGCTGCATGGAGTCTTAGCAGAACAGCCACTCAGGCATGCATGGAGACACAGGAGCTTTAGATACTCCAGCTTTCCAGGCTTCATGGCAAAAGTAGCTGCAACTCCAGCAAAGCAGGAGGTTAGACACTCATACATACCCATAAAAAAGAGGCTGAATTCAGGAGCCTGAGCCACAATGCTCTGCAGGCCCCACTTCTACAGAATCTCACAGGATAAGACCTATGGGCTTGGATTTCCAGCCAGCCACTGGTAGCAGTGTTGCGTCTACCTGGGAAAGAGCTCTTGGGTGGTAGAGGGAGCGGGGAGTAGGGATAGAGGGGTGGGCTGCCATCTTTGCTGTTTGGGTGGCTTAACCATTCCAACCTTTAGGGTTTGGAGAGCCCAAGATGACTAGGGGTGGAAGCAGTACCCCAGCACAGCACAGAGGCCCCACAAAAATGTGGCCAGACTGCTTTATAAAGCAGGTACCCAACTGTGTTCCTCATCAACGGGTGGAGCCTCCCAACCAGGGTTTCTGGCTACCCCTGCTGGTGTTCTCTGGCTGAGAGAGGTTTTAGGACAGCCTGGGATGGAGCTCCCAGGAGGAGCAGACCACCATCTTTGCTATTTGGATGACTTAGCCATTCCAGGTTTCAGACTTCAGAGTGTCCAAGACAACCAAGGTGGACCTATGCTGAAGTGGACCCCTAACACAGCATAGTTGCTCTACAAAAACGTGGCTAGACTCCTTTTTTAACTGGGTCCCTGATCCTTTTCCTCCTGTCTGGGTAAGACCTCCCAATGGGGTCTCCAGCAACCTCCTACAGGTCTGTTTAGGCCAGCAACATGTCTATGACTCCCTGGGATGGAGGTCCCAGAGTAAGAAGCAGGCTGCATTCTTTGCTGTTTCACAGCCTTTACTGATGATTCCTCCAGGTACTGTAAAATCTAAGGCAACTAGGGATTGGAGTCAAACCCCCAGCACAACACAGCAGCCCTGCAGAAAAGTGGCTAGACTGTTTAAAAAAGAAAAGAAAAGAAAAAGCTCCATCCAAAGGTCACCAACCTCAAAGATTGAAGGCAGATGAGCCCACAGAGATGAGAAAGGATCAGTCCAATAACACTGAAAACTCAAAAGGCCAGAGTGCCCTCTTTCCTACAAATGACTGCATCACTTCTCCAGCAAGGGTTCAGAACCAGGTTGAGGTGCCTGAAATGACAGAAATAGAATTCAGAATATAGATAGGAACAAAGTTTACTGAGCTAAAGGAGTGTGTTATAACCCAATTCGAGGAAGTTAAAATTCATGTTAAAATATTGCAGGAACTGACAGTAAAAAAAAAGCCAGTATAGAGAAGAATAGAGCTGAAAAACACACTACAGCAACTTCACAATGCAATCACAAGTATTAATAGCAGTGTAGACCAAGTGAAGGAAAGAATCTTAGAGTTTGAAGACTGTTTTTCTGAAATAATACAGGCAGGCAAGAATAGAGAAAAAGCAATGAACAAAACTTCCAAGGAATGTATGATTATGTAAAGAGACCGAATCTGTGACTGATTGATGTACATGAAAGAGATGGGAAGAATGGAACCAGCTTGGAAAACATATTTCAGGACATAATCCATGAGAACTTTCCCAACATAGCTAGACAGGCCAACACTCAAATTCAGGAAATGCAGAGAACATCAGTAAGATACTCCTTGAGAAGATCATCCCCAAGACACACAATCATCAGATTCTCCAAGGACAAAATGAAAGAAAAAATGTTAAAGGCAGCTAGAGGGAAAGGTCAGGTCACCAACAAAGGGAAGTCCATCAGACTAACAGTGGACCTCTCAGCTGAAACCCTACAAGCCAGAAGAGATTGGGGGCCAATGTTCAACATTCTTAGAAAAAAGAAATTCCAATCCAGAAATTCATATCCGACCACATTAAGCTTTATAAGTAGAGGAGAAGTAAGATTCTTTTAGGAAAAGCAAACGCTGAGAGGATTTGTTACCACCAGACCTGTCTTACAAGAGTTCTTGACAGAAGCACTAAATATGGAAAGGAAAGACTGTTGCCAGTCACAACAAAAACACACCGAAGTACACAGACCAGTGAGACTATAAAGCAATCACATAAGTCTGCAAAATAACCAGCTAACATCATGATGACAGGTTCGAATCCAAACATATCAATGCTAATCTTATATGTAAATGGGCTAAATACACCAGTTAAAAGACACAGAGTGGCAAGCTGGATAAAGAACCAGGACCGATTGGTATCCTGTCTTCAAGAGACCCATCTCACATGCAATGACACACATAGATCAAAATAAATAGATGAAGGAAAATCTACCAAGCAAATAGAAAACAGAAAAGTGCAGGGGTTGCAATTCTAGTTTCTGACAAAACAGACTTTAAACCAACAAAAATGAAAAAGGACAAAGAAGGGCATTACATAATGGTAAAGGCTTCAATTCAACAAGAAGAGCTAACTGTCCTAAATATATATGCACATAACACAGGAGCACCTAGATTCATAAGGCAAGTTCTTAGAGACCTTCAAAGAAACTTAGACTCCCACACGATAATAGTGGTAGACATTAATGGCCTATTGAAAATAGTAATTAATTTTCAAGACATAAAATTAACAAAGATATTCAGGACCAGAACTGAGTACTTGATCAAATGGACCTGATAGATATCTACAAAGTTCTCCACCCAGAAACAACAGAGTATACATTCTTCTCATCAGCCCATGGCACTTACTCTAAAATTGATCACATAATTGGAAGTAAAACACTCCTCAGCAAAAGCAAAAGAACGGAAATTAAAAACATCTCTTGTACCGCCATGCAATCAAATTCAAAATCAAGAGTAAGAAATTCATTCAAAACTATGCAATTCCATGGAAATTGGATAACCTGCTCCTGAATGACTTGTGGGTATATAATGAGATAAAAGCAGGAATCAAGAAGTTCTTTGAAACTAATGAGAACAAAGATATGACATACCAGAATTTCTGGGACACAGCTAAGGCAGAATTAAAAGGGAAATGTATAGCACTAGATGACCACATTAAAAGTTAGAAGTATCTGGTCAGGCGCGGTGGCTCACGCCTGTAATCCCAGCACTTTGGGAGACCGAGGAGGGCGGATCACAAGGTCAGGAGATCGAGACCATCCCGACTAACATGGTGAAACCTCCTCTCTACTAAAAATACAAAAAACTAGCCAAATGTGGTGTGGTGGCATGTGCCTGTAGTCCCAGCTACTCGGGAGGCTGAGGCAGGAGAATCATTTGAACCTGGGAGGTGGAGGTTGCAGTGAGCTAAGATCATGCCACTGCACTCCAGCCTGGGCAACAGAGCAAGACTACGTCTCAAAAAAAAAAAAAAAAAGTTAGAAAGATCTCAAGTTAACAACCTAATATCAAAACTAAGTGTACTAGAGAACAAAAGCAAACAAACCCCAAAGCTAGCAGAAGACAAGAAATAACCAAGACCACAGCTGAACTGAAGGTGATAAAGACATGAAAAACCCTTCAAAATATTAATGAATCCAGGAGCTGATTTTCTGAGAAAAAATTAATAAAATAGAGTGATAGCTAAACTAATAAAGAAGAAAAGAGATAAGATTCAAATAAACACACTCAGAAATGATAAGGGGGAATATTCCCACTGACCCCACAGAAATACAAACATCAGAGAATGTTATAAACACCTCTATGCACATAAACTAAAAAATCTAGAAGAAATAGAAATTAGCTGAGTGTGGTGGTAGGTACCCGTAATCCCAGCTAGTAGGGAGGCTGAGGCAGGAGACTTGGGTGAACCCGGGAGGCAGAGGTTGCAATGAGCCAAGATGGCGCCATTGCGCTATAGCCCAGGCGACAGTGCAAGACTCCGCCTCAAAAACAAAAAAAAGAAAAAGAAAAAGAAAAAAAGGGATAAATTTCTGGACACATACACCCTCCCAAGGCTGAACCAGAAAGAAATTGAATCCCTGAACAAACCAATCATGAGTTCTGAAACTGAGGCAGTAATAAATAGCCTTCCAACCAAAAAAAGCCGAGGACCAGATGGATTCACAGCTGAATTCTACCAGAGGTACAAAGAACGGCTGGTACTATTTCTATTGAAACTATTTCAAAATAATTAGGAGGAGAGACTCCTCCCTAACTAATTCTATGAGACCAGCATCATCCCAAAACCAAAACTTGGCACATACAAAAACAACAAAAAAAATTGAGGCCAATATCTTTGATGAACACTGATGCAAAAATCCTCAACAAAATACTGGCAAACTGAATCCAGCAGCACATTAAAAAGCTTATCCACCACAATCAAGTAGGTTTCATCCCAGGGATGCAAGGTTGATTCAACATATGCAAATCAATAAATGTGATTAATCACATAGGCAGAACTAGAAACAAAAACCACGTGATTATCTCAATAAACTCAATCAAACTATACTATGAGGCTACAGTAACCAAAACACTATGGTACTGGTACAAGAACAGACATTGCAGTTTATTATATGTTGTTGAATAACTTTGGCAACTCTACTGGCAGGAAACAATATTAAATTGAATACTTTCCCTTAACCAGCTTGCTTCTTTTTATTTTCTTTGTTGTGAGAGGATAAATTGTTTTGATTGTAGTATCTTTTGATTCAAAGAAATAGACAAAAAGATCATACACTATGCCATTCGTCTAAAGACAGTGGCTTGGTATGAATTTGGTGTAGCATGTTTATGCTATGCACTTCATACATTTATTTTTATAATATAGTTCACCTATATATAATAACATGAGTATTTTCCCATTTCTCAGAAACTTACAATTCTTGATGACTGGTAATGTATGGATAGCATCCCTTGTTTTTGCTGAATTGTGGCTTATTCACTTCTGGTTAATGGACATCTAGTTTTTAAAATATCTGATTTATAAGTATTCCCTTTTTTTCCTTTTAATTTGTGTAGCTGGAAAGCCCTGATGAAGGCTTTGAAGGCAAATCTCTTTATGAAAGTTGGACGAAAAAAAGTCCTTCCCCCGAGTTCAGTGGCATGCCCAGGTAAACAAATGAATGAAATTTCCACTGAATTCAGTGTGGGATTGTTTTGAAAATAAAAGCGTATTTTCTTTCAATTATTAAGTGCAAAAATTAACTTTAAAAATGGTCTAAAATCTGATAAAGGAAAAGCATTCCTTTGGTTCACGAATAAAAGATTACTGTGTGCTTTGTAGTTAAATGTTCAGGACATCAAAACGTGATTTCTCTTTAGAATATGTAATATATACATATGGAACATTTCAACAGATTATATAGTTTGGTCATTTTTTATATGAAATGTGTGGGATGAGAAGTATTTTGGACTTTGGATTTTTTTAAAAAATTTTGGAATATTTGCATTATACCTACTGGTTGAACATCCCTAATCTGAGAATTCGTAATCTGAAATGCTTCAGTTAGCATTTCCTTTCAGTGTCATGTAGGTGCTTAAAAACTTTTGGATTTTGCAGCATTTTAAAAAATTTTCTTATCTTTAATTTTTGTGAGTATGTAGTAGGTGTATTTATTTTGGGGGTGCATGAGATATTTTGATACAGATTTTGGATTTTTGGATAAGGGATGCTCAACCCCTGATAAAGATAATGGTGAAAAGTAATTCTCATTTTTTTCTGTCACCTCATCACCTTGTAATTATTCTTTTTCTGAATATCGTATAGTTAACAAATATTTTTCTTACTGTAATAAAAATGCAAGCATCACTTCAACATTGGTTGTATCTTCACAAGCAAGGGAAGATGAATAAATATCTCAGTACTTTGAGTTTATTGATGTCAACAGCACAAATCATTTATATTATAAAGGACAAAATTTATGTCCAAACTATCTGAAAAATATTTGCTTTTCACTCTATTATGTACAACAGATAAAGATGATAAATGGAATGAAATAATCTTGAGGAAAACATTTTCCAGCTTCAGAAACCTTTAACAAAATGTGACATAAAATAGTCATTCCTACACAAAATAGTCTCATAGAAGGAGATATTTTGTGATGAAAATTAACATTCTTTTCATGTTTTTGCTGCATGTCTAAATCTGTATGTTTAAAATTACATTTATAATAGAATGGAGTTTAGTTTAATGAACATGTAATCTGTACTTAATGAACAAATTACTTTGAAATAATTCTGGTGTTTTATCTCTAAAAGGATAAGCAAATTGGGATCTGGAAATGATTTTGAGGTGTTCTTCCAACGACTTGGAATTGCCTCAGGCAGAGCACGGTATACTAAAAATTGGGTAAGTGAATCTAAATTATTCAAGATTATTTATGAATATGTTTTAACTAAACAAATAATTCTGACTCCAAAAAGTGACTCAAACGTTAGTTGAAAGAAGAGAGAAGTCTCAGTGGTTGACAGTATCGCTACTACATAGGATAACTCCTGTATCTGGTATTCCTACCCTAAATTCAAGTGTCAGTTGGTATCAATACTCATGTCTGCAAATGTGAACTTCCATTTACTCCCTTAAACATATTTTCTGTTTCATTTGGTGGCACTGCATTCACTCAGTCATTTAAGTTGAAAATGTAGGAATTGTCTTTGATTTCACCCTCCTCTTTATTCAAAATTAATCAGTATCTCCCCATTATAATTCAAAATTAATCACTGTATTTGAATTTCCATCTCTTACTATATCTCTAATTATTAAACAAATAACATCATTAAACAAATGAAAAATTCGTTTAATAAAGAACAGACTATATATATTAGTCTGTTCTCCTGCTCCTAATAAAGACATACCCAAGACTGGGTCATTTACAAGGGAAATATGTTTAATTGACTCACAGTTTCATATGGCTGGGGAGGCCTCACAATCGTGGCTGAAGGCGAATGAGGAGCAAAGTTACATGTTACATGGCAGCACACAAGAGAGCAGGTGCAGGGGAACTTCCCTTTATAAAACCATTAGATCACATGAGACTTATTCACTGTCAGGAGAACAGGGCAGGAAAATGTGTCCCCCATGATTCAGTTACCTCCCACCAGGTCTCTCCCATGACACGTGGGGATTATCATAATTCAAGATGAGATTTGGGTGGGGACACAGAGCCAAACCATATCAGTATAATACACTTTGAACGTGTAAAAGTCATGATTCCTTTTCTTCTGTTGTAGATTTTATATATATATATACACACACACACACACACACACATATATATGGTTTTCATTTTCTTCAAAGTAAAATGGGTACATAGTATATAAAATGTCAAGTAGTTTTATAAGAACACTGGTTTATAATAAAAAACAGTTGTTTCTTATTTCCATTTCATATTCATACCATCCCTGATTTCTGTTCATCAGATGAAACCTTTGTCAGCTTTTATGATACATCCATGTTTATAAGTAATATTTTAATCCTGATATGTCTTCATTTTTAAATTTTATGTTATAAAGAAAAATCATTCTCACACTTATAAAAATGGTAAGGAAGAGTTCGTTCAAAACTGTTCCAATAAGAATATTGCAATAATAAGAGATTTAGCTCAATTCCAAATACAGAAAAGACATTTGGCGATTTAGAGTTGACATTAAGTTTCTGTAAGTGTTTCCTCACAGGCTATTCTTCCCAGATGGGAAATCTTCAATCTCCTGTCTGTGAGGTAGGAAGTTAGGCAGAGTTATATGGGAGCTGATAGTGAGGATAAATATTAATATTGTCTACATTTTACTATGAAAAAAATTACAACAAATAAAATCAAATGACCACCTAAAGTTTTTGGTAGTAAGTCCTGAAGCCTAGATTCAAACCCTGGCAGGGAAATTCCAGAATCCCAGTCTCTTCAACACATCAGTACATAAAATGTCCTTTTATATTAATAATAAAAAATAAGCATCTTAATGGTCAAAAGTGATAAACTAGCAATTCACAGTTTGAAAAGTCCTTCCTTCTACCTATACTTTTGGTTTTCCTGACACTTGTCTGGGCCTCCCTTCTCTCTCCTCAGTGAGACTTTAGATCCACTACTGCACCCCTCACCACTCAGACTCTTCAGCCTTCAGCACACTGTTTGTCAGACAATCATTTATCCAAGGAATTTTAGTGATTAAACAATTTGGTGTCTTCTCCTATATAATATTGTGTAATACTTATTTACTTGCCTTTAACAATTCTGTCTTCTTATTTTTACCCAAATGCAAGATTGTCTTGTCTTGTTTTTTCAGATTCTTAAAACATGAATCTAAGAATGCAATCTTCTGCATTCTTAGAGGCAAGCCTGTTTGGTCCCTTTGAAATACTTTTTAAATAATATTTGTTATATCATATACACATATTTTAATTGGTACAAACTTGGAGTGTGTTTACGTATCATAATATTAGCTGTTTAAGAAGTAACTTATTGAGATGCTTAAGTACTTTCCTTGATCCATCACTGACCAATCTTACTAATACTAATAGTAAATATGGTGCTAATCATTTTATTGTAAGCTATCCTATAAGTGATATGTTTTGTTATTTTTTCCATAGGAAACAAACAAATTCAGCAGCTATCCACTGTATCACAGTGTCTATGAAACATATGAGTTGGTGGAAAAGTTTTATGATCCAATGTTTAAATATCACCTCACTGTGGCCCAGGTTCGAGGAGGGATGGTGTTTGAACTAGCCAATTCCGTAGTGCTCCCTTTTGATTGTCGAGATTATGCTGTAGTTTTAAGAAAGTACGCTGACAAAATCTACAATATTTCTATGAAACATCCACAGGAAATGAAGACATACAGTGTATCATTTGGTATGTTACCCTTCCTTTTTCAAATTCCTCATCTGTATGGTTCTATTAATCTCCAAAATATAATGGGCTATCTTAGGTCATTTATTATTGATTGCTGTTTCAAGTGATCCAGTATTCTGTTTATGTCTATAAACGTATTTTTCATTTTATGGATGCTCATATCTTATAATATAAAAATATAAATACCTTGTAAAACACAAAAGATGATGGCTTCTATATTGTTCGTTTTCTTGAACTTTGGACCAATACCATTAGAAATTATGTTCTTTAAGCATTTGATGATCCCAATTTCTATTTCAGATTCACTTTTTTCTGCAGTAAAGAATTTTACAGAAATTGCTTCCAAGTTCAGTGAGAGACTCCAGGACTTTGACAAAAGCAAGTATGTTCTATATCTATATCTATCTATATCTGTGTCTATATCTACACACACATATATATACTTAAAAGGAAAGTAACATCGCTGTTGCTTTGGGAATTTCTTGCTGTTTTCTTTTTTTTAAATTTGTTTTACTTTAAGTTCTGGGATACATGTGCAGAACGTGCAGCTTGTTACATAGGTAGACAAGTGCCATTTCCTGCTGCTTTCTGTCTTTCCACTCTAGCACATCCTATGTAGGGCTGCCCTATCTCAAAGACTTGCTTTCGACATTTGGAGTGGCAATTGTGCTGCTGAGAAATGTCGGTCCCTCCCTCCTGCCATTTGATCAGTTACAACATACTCTGCTTAACAATGAAAGGCCTTCACTGTGTGACCCCAGCTGTTTCCAGTTTTATTTCTTGTTTTTTCAGTATCTGTACATCATAACTCAGCCAGACTCTTTAATTTTCAAAGCGTTATTTCTTTCTGCCTCTTTTTTTTATTTCATTACCTCCACATAGAGCTCCTTATTTCCACTTCCATCCAGCAAAATTCTATTTATCCAGAATAGCAAATACTGTGAAGTCATTAATTTTGGAAATGTTAAACATTTAGGATTAATTCTGTGTAGGATTACACAAGTACAACACAATTTGAACAAAATTTTAAGATGGAAGGAAAAAAACTTGGTGAGAATACTAAGGTAATTTTTTTAAAGTAGAATTTTGAGGGCACAGATATGTGTATTAAATATAGTATCATGAGGTAAGTATCAAATCCCTAGGAGCTGATGTAAGGACACATAAAAAGATCAGAGTAAATGATGTAGAAATAGGCTCAGTGATATATAAGGAAGTATTAGTAATAAACGATACAGCAAAAATCAATTGGGAAAGATTAGTCAATCATAACATTGTATAAACTATGTTAGTACCTGCTATAAAATTAAATTCAGAATCACACTTCACATTGTATGCTCACATAAACAACAGCTGTAAATAATTTTTTAGTAAAAATGAAAATTTCTTGAAAGACAGATGCCAAGTTTAGAAGCAGTGGGGAAATGATGCAATCCTATTTGAGACCACTAAAATGGTTCAGAATATGAAAATTAATATTCAAAAGAAAAACTAAAGTTGAAAACTTATTTTCTGGCAAAAATGGAGAGTAATATATACATTATAAAAATATTTTTCGAAAATTAATTTAAATAGTCCAAAAGAACAAACTGAAAATATCGGTAAGAAACAAGACAAATAATTATAAAAATGTTGTCAAGATACACCTGTAAAGAAACATAGCAAAATATTGCAGTTCCACTAATGCATAATTCAGAAATACAAATGAAAGTAATGTGACATTATTTTTATAACACATTAATAACAATTTAAACCTTGGTTGTGCCCACTGCTGTGGCTGGTACACTGAAGCATATGGTCTCCATGCTTTTCTGATAGCATTATGAATTATTTTAGCTTTTTTGAAAAAGATAGATACATATTGCTAATGCGTTCAAGAGCTGTCACAGAGTCCTGTGCTTTGACATAGGTATTCCATTTCTTGAATTATTTCTTAGGAAAAAGTCTCTGTTTTGGAAAAGAAAGACTGCCCGGAGAAAGATTTGAAGTATAAAATTATAATAGCAAGTAATTGAAAATAACCCAATGCCTAAGAGAAGAGAAATTACTAAAAAAATTGATATTCACCAATGTGAACATTTTATAATCCTTAAAATGGATGGCCGGGCGCGGTGGCTCAAGCCTGTAATCCCAGCACTTTGGGAGGCCGAGACGGGCGGATCACGAGGTCAGGAGATCAAGACCATCCTGGCTAACCCGGTGAAACCCCGTCTCTACTAAAAAAATACAAAAAACTAGTCGGGCGAGGTGGCGGGCGCCTGTAGTCCCAGCTACTTAGGAGGCTGAGGCAGGAGAATGGCGTGAACCCGGGAGGCGGAGCTTGCAGTGAGCTGAGATCCGGCCACTGCACTCCAGCCTGGGCGACAGAGCGAGACTCCGTCTCAAAAAAAAAAAAAAAAAAAAAAAGAATAAAATATGAAGTAAGCAAAAAGCTTATAAAATTGTAAATATAGTTTGATTAATTTTTATTTAACAAATACAGGAAAAACTTAAAGGGAGTTAATGAATTATTTTAATAATTGTGTTATCCTCAGGGAATATTGGAAGAATTGTTTTCCTGTTCTTTTCAATTCTTTATAATTTTTATATGTGGGTAAAAAAGTCAACAATGAGAAATACATTTTAAGGAGATCCCAAACACCATGTATTCTATAAAACTGGTTTTCTTTTTGTATTTAAAAGAAAAAATATTTTCTCCCTCTGACAAAATGCCTTATGGTTTGAATTCTGGTTTGTTTAGGACACTTATTGTTTAGCACACTCAGCTTCCCCTTCCTTTAGTATTTCTACAGTTGTTTTATTTTCTCTAAATGATAGTAAAGATCCATTCTGTTCCCTATATATTTACAAATTCTGAAACACCTGCACAGTGCATTGCACATAATAATAGTAAATTCTAACTAAGTAAATTAAACTGAATGTTGAATTTCTCAACGAAAACTTTGAAATCTAAGGAAGAGACATGTCTTCATCCTGCTTTTCTTGTATTACTTCTTGCCCCATCAAAGAATATAAGATGTTGACACAAGATACAGAGAAAGAGAAGTGTGTGTGTGTGTGTGCGCGCACATGCGTGCATTTACATGTGTGTAGCCACATGAGTTTTTGTACTTGTAGTAATGCTTTGTGAATTTGATTCCGAAATCCATAGCATCTTATTGAAATTATCCTTCATTCGATTGTCTCAACTGTTTATGGGAGCTGCTAACAGGTATTCTGTGTTTAATTTACCTTTATACTATCATAGAATCTGAATTCATGATGCTAAATACATAAGTATTAAAAATAGCTCAAATCCAAATTATGGGAATTTAAGTTGTTCCTGTTTTCCTTTTGTCAGCAAGGTGCAGTTGAAAGAACAATACCGACCTCCTATTTCACTCTAAAACTTTCTAGTGTGAATTTAGGCAAGTTATTTAACTCATGATCCTTTGTTATCTCATCTACAAAATGGGGCTATTACCCTGCCCACCTTGCAGAATCGCTCTGAAAATTAAAAATCACATTTTGTATAGACATTCAGAACAGTAATTGGCACATAGGAAATGATCACTAAATGCTAATTGTTAGTAAAACAAAATTATAAAAAGCAAGAGGTAAATTAATGAATAAGATGATTTATGCTTTCTTATTGTAATGATTTTTTCTCATTAGTTAATTAAATTGTGAAAGAATTGGTATATTCAATTCAGTAACTCATTGTTGAAGTATTCAGGGCTTGCTGATAAGCTTTCAGTTATACTGAATCATTCTTACTACAATAACAACCTCAATACTCATTTTGGAATGTAAGTTCTGTAAAAGCAGGGAGTGTTTGATATATAGGAGGTATCCAAATATTGTTAAAAGACTGAAGTAATCATCATCTCTTGTGTTCATAATAGGTTTAGCTTTAAAAATGAAAGGAATATTGTTAATTATCACTTGGTAAATAATTCTAATTTGCCAGGCATCTTACTAAACATTAGCAGGTCATCATATTTTAATATTGATATTACTTCAGTGAGTAGATTACTAGGATACCTAAGGTGAAGAAAATCTTGCCTTATTATACCAATGTAAATAAAAATCACTATTATTTTTTCCATTGGCACATACAGCTGTTTCTGTGCTTTTATAAGCCTGAGCAGTATAGTATTTTATAGGATTTTAAAAATGTGATAGCTATGTATTTTATTTTTCTTAATTTGCATATTACAGAATGTTAAAATTTGCAATTTACATTTGAACAACAGTGATTTGAACTGCACAGGTCCACTTATACATGAATTCTTTTTTCCATTAATACAATGAGCCCTCTCTATCCATAGATTTCATATTAGCAAGCAAACGCAGATGGAAAATTCAGTATTATTCACTGTAATCCCAGGTACTCAGGAAGCTGAGGCAGGGGGATTGCTTGAGCCCAGGAGTTTGAGACTATAGTGAGCTATGATCAAACCACTGCACTCCAGCCTGGGCAACAGAACAAGAGTCCATCTCTTAAGAAAACAAAATAAAATACAGTATTGATGGACTAAAACCCACATATATGGAGGGCCAATTATTCTTGTTATTTTTAAATATGGAAAACTTTTTATTTTGCCAAATTAAATCTTTTATTTTCAAACTTACATTTGAAAATATTAGCATTGCATACAGAAAATGATTTTGTTAAATATCTAAAAGTAGGATGGATATGAATCTAGAACAAAAGTATTTTAGATAAGTAAATTCATTTATATGGAAAAAAATCTCAACAATCATCTTTCTTTTAGCTTTGATATATTAGAACTTTTATCACCGAATGATGCTCACTCTGCAGGCTTGAATCTGAGAACCTCAGATGTAGCTAATGAGAAACTAATGAAAAATATAAAGAGAATTATAGAAACTTAAAAAATAACTGTTACATTCTGTTTGAACTACTAGCCATGTGTTCCATAAACATTTTCTATTTTATATAATTGCTTATGTCATTGTCTTAACAATATGAAGACTAAGATGTCAAAGAGGGATTAAGCATGTGGTAAGAGTTCTACTGGCGGCAGCTAACCCAAGGGAGATCAGATGTGGCTTCAGATTCCACATACCCAGCTACATTTCCTCATTGAAGCAGAACAAGTTAATCCAGAAAGTCATATCAGACTCCAAGAATGCTGTACTTAAACCATTCTGAAAATCACTTGAAATGATACAATTTTAAGTAACTTTTAGACTTAAATCTGAATCATTATACCAAGGCATCAATTTAATTTGTTTGATAGTTTGTTAATTCTCACCCTGTTAATTCCACAGAGGAGGAGGGCTAACTTGCAGGACTTGAGTATGCACAAATTTTGGTGTAGGGGGTGGTCCTAGAAGCAATTCCTGGAGATAACTAAATTCAGTTTTGTTCTGAATTTTTTATTGTCTGCATAGAAATATATTTTCATGAAGTTATAATTATATTCATTTTCTTTCCCAGCCCAATATTATTAAGAATGATGAATGATCAACTCATGTTTCTGGAAAGAGCATTTATTGATCCATTAGGGTTACCAGACAGACCTTTTTATAGGTGAGAAAAGAAAATATGACTCTTTTCTATAATATCACTGTTTCTTGTAATTATTTTTATTTTTTTCATTGTGGAAAAATATTGTAGTTGATTTCTTGCAAGCAAATGGAAAATTTCAAAATATATGTAGGAAGTTATAGTGGTATTGTTTCTTCGTATAATGTAATATGATTTTTGCATATCTTTGAGTATCTTTGTTCTGATTATAACAGAATATATGTTTATTTTAGAAAATATAGAAGATTCAGAAAGCCACGGCAGAAAATAAAAATCTCCCCAATTTTATCAGAAAAATATAAAATCATGGTTATATTCTTGTGTGTATTTTAGCTCCTTTCCTATTTTAAATACATTTTTGCTTATGTATACACACAACCCAAACATCTCTCTCTATATAATATATACAATAAGTTTATATTTATTTATTCTTTTCCCTAATGTTGATATTTAGAGATTTTATTTCCTCCTAAATCCTGACAGTTGAATTTTTTCCTGCCAAACATTGACTGTCCCCAGGTTGATTTTCTAAATATTACAGAATGAGATAGACCACTGGACAGCCAGAAATGGCCCTAACTTTCTTTCTAGAGATTATAAAAGGTTCTGGTTTGGTATTAAGAGCATCTTCAAACAGGTTGACTGGATCGCCAATGGCAGTATATTTTTATCCATCCCCCACACCCCTTTTTTTCCCTAAGAGACAGGGTCTCACTGTGTCTCCCAGGCTAGAGTTCAGTTGTGCAGTTGTAGTTCACTGCAGCCTCAGACTTTTGGGCTCAAGCAATCTTCCCACAGCAGCTTCCCAGGAAGCTAGGACAACAGACACATGCCACCATGTCCAGCTAATATGTGTACTTTGGTTTGTAGAGACAGGGTGTCCCTATGTTGCACAGGCTTGTCTAGAACTCCTGGCCTCAAGCAATCCTCCCACCTCGGCCTCCTTAATATATGGGATTACAGACATGAGCTACTGCTTCTGGCCTTATCTACCTCTTTACTTTGGAGTTTGTCCTTCTCTTCTATGGGCTATTATATGAAATGTCTTAGTCTATTCTATAAAACATTTTCTGCCTTGGTCATGTGGAACATTACAAAATTGTTTTTGATGATTCTTCAAACTCTATGTTAAGTATTCTAACATGATAGTGTGAATTTTTAAAAAATGACAAACACAATATAGGGTTGGCTGATCACAAACAAGACTGTAATGATCACAATTGTGCTATAATGTAGGAGGTAGCATGATATATTAAAAAATCAGCACTTGTCATGTGTTTTGAGACAAATCATCTAGTTACTTGATCTCTCAGACCTCAGTTTCCTCCTCTGTGAAATACTAATATCAACTGTGTAGAGTTTATTTCTAAACATTAGAAAAATTGTAAGTAAACATTAAATACCAATACCAAGCATGATTACTGTGGTTACTATCATCATTGTAACTTTTGTAGCACTGAATCACTTTAAGTTATTTGTTTGAAATAAAAATATAATTAATTACTATAGATTTCACATAGTCTTCAGAGATGATTGAACTTGGAAGTTCAGTTGACAAGTGGCTTGTTCAAATTGTTATAGGAATATGCAATCCAGGAATTGCAGAGTGCTCTTGTGTTTCTCTTGTATGTCATTTGGGCACCTGATAAACAGCAAACGATTTTATCAACAGGCATATCATCTATGCTCCAAGCAGCCACAACAAGTATGCAGGGGAGTCATTCCCAGGAATTTATGATGCTCTGTTTGATATTGAAAGCAAAGTGGACCCTTTGCAGGCCTGGGGAGAAGTGAAGAGACAAATTTCTATTGCAGCCTTCACAGTGCAAGCAGCTGCAGAGACTTTGAGTGAAGTGGCCTAAGAGGATTCTTTAGAGAATCCATACTGAATTTGTGTGGTATGTCATTCAGAAAGAATCATAATTGGTATATTGATAAATTTTAAAATTGGTATATTTGAAATAAAGTTGAATATTATATATAGTTATGTGGGTGTTTATATATGTGTGTTTATATTGTTTCTTTTATCTTGTCCCTATGGATTAAAAATTAAAAATTGAATTTCATAATTATAAGAGGTTATTCTGAAGTGGAAAAATTTAGCTCAGTATTAAATCTAAGGAGAATGGCATAATACAGTAAAACTCTTATCTGGCATTATCAGGGAATCAAGTCTAATCTGTTCATGTCACTTCATACATAAGAAAACATCAGTATGTCATAGAGCACACTGGGGAATATGCACAGACTATTCCAAGCCAGAGCCCTCACGGCCTGACTGGTCACCCAAGGCTGAGAGGATCACTATCTCAGCACACTAGTTGGGAAATGGATCAAATTACACTTTTAGTAAATGTAATCACTCTATAGTATAAGAAATAATTATTTTTTTAATTTATATAAAAGGCTATAGTATAATGTATATGTATAGTAATTAAATGAACATTTGTGAACCTAATAGCCATATGAAGAAAATAACATTTCCAATATCTTTGGATGCCCCATGTACTAATGACAGTTATGTTTTTCCGTTTTCTTGAATTTTATGTTTATTTATCTTTCCTCCGCTATTTATAATTGTACCACACATGGCTGTATTCTTTACATGTTTTGGCATTATGTATTTTTGAACTTTTATAAAGACAGTCATACCATGTGTATTTCTCAGGTACTTGATTTTTTTCATTGGCTTTTAAGGGTTCAAATATATTATCACTGTGGCTGTAGTTTGCCATATTTTGCTGATATAAAACATTCATTCACATGAGAGTAAGATCCAGGGTCCATCAAGACAGAGAAAACATACAGTAATGTGAATAGGGAAAGTTAATGTAAAGAATTATTAATTGTTACAGCATTACAGCAATGAAATATTGTCTAGTAATATGTAAAGAGAGGTCTCAAGAATATGTGATGAGCAGATATAAGGAACTGCTCTTATCTCCATGGTGAATTTGGAGCAGCCAATGAAGAGTCCCCTCACACTGTGGCCTCGCTCAATGTTAAGAAGTTGCTGTGGTGTTGCCCTTGAACCTGCTTCAAATTGATACTTCAGAACTCCCCAGAAACTTGTCTTCTGGGCCACTGTGTAAAGCTGTTTATGAAGAAATGTCAAGCCAGAGGGGCTTTGCTACAAATTTGGCAAAGGATAGTTTCAGGAGAAGCTCTTGGCCGCTGGGTTCTCCTGGCCACCATGAACTTCAGGAATTGGGCGCCAAAGCAGTAGCCACAGAATCTGGGCACTGGTGTCGCCCTGTATGCCCTCCGTGTCAGATGCTGGAGATGTCATTTACATTGCCAGAGTTTGCCAGGGGTGCACACAGAGAGCAGATTGGAAACCACCTTCTCGGAACATCTCTCCAATGCCTTCTACTCACGAAGTTTAACATCATAACACATGACAAAGAAAAACTATTTAATGGGCCCAGATCTATTTATGAAGACAATCAAGAGTGAGTTTGGAGTGGGTAACTCAAATTTGGATAACTGGTGAATAATAAAATGTATTTATTCATTTTCTGCTGGTATATATTTGGAATGTTTTATGTGTTTTGCGTCTGTGAACATGTATCCTAATGCAAATATTCAAGAGATTCTCTTTCCTGACAGTATCTACCTATAGGTTGAATATCTGTGTTGTAAAGTTTGTGCATCTTCAATTTTACAATGCCAAGCTGTTTCAAAGTGATTTTATTTATTTATATTCCCACTGGCAAAGTAATCATGTTATTCAAGATAAAAAACAAGTACGGAAGATTGTGGCATGTTAAAGAAATACAACTACTCAGTGTTACTAGAATCCAAGGGATTTGTGGGAAGAACAATCCATACATTGGGCACCAAATACAACACATAAGGCTTAGAAGACATTCAGAGGAGTGTAACTACTTTCCTGTAGTTTATCAAAAGCCCATAATAAGGTTAAGCAGGATAGGGATACGGGCATATTTGCATTTCAGAAAGCATTCTGGCCTAGATGGATTAGAAGATAAAGATAAGATAAGCAAAAGATAAGAACTTTGTTTTTTTGTTTTGTTGTTGTTGTTGTTGTTGTTGTTTGTTTTTTTTTAATACAGGGTCTCACTCTGTCACCCAGGCTGGAGTCAATGGCACAATCCCAGCTCAGTGTAACCTCTGCTTCCTCGGCTCAGGCGATCCTTCAGCCTCAGACTCCCAAATAGCTGAGATTACAGGTGTACACCACCATGCCTGGCTAATTTTTGTATTTTTTGTAGAGATGGGGTTTTGCCAAGTATCCCAGGCTGGTCAAGAACTCCCTGGCTCAAAGTATCAACCTTCTTTGGCCTCCCAAAGTGGTGGGATTACAGGCAGGAGTCACCATGCCAGGTCCCAAAATATTTTCTTATGACAACAGTTGCCATGTAGACTTTATCCCCAGAAAAGATAAGACTACCCTCGTCCTTCAGGTCTCAGCTTACGTGTCATCTCTTCTAGGAATACTTCCAGAATGACTGCCCCTTCCCTTATATTCCTTACTAGACCATAAGCTCCTCAGAGACTGAGTCTCGTTTTTTATTTTGGCTTCAATCTCTATCAGTATGGAGAGTCCACAGATGGCAGTCATTCTGTGAGTAATCAGAGTAGCGTGCATATGAGACTTTCTGAGACATTTTGTGCTTTGAAAATAAAAGCTACACTGCACACTAAGATTTCCACAATACCTTAGTTACAGGGTTTGGCTGAGCATGCTAAAAGGCTTTTTGTCATGTCATTGTTAGAGAGTTGGACAATATTGTAGATGTAGGATAAGGTGAATAAAACTATTCTTAAAAATGGACCGAAACCTACATAATACTTGAAAGCTTTGTCAACTTTCAACCGATTCTGCAAGCATGCAATAAGCATCCCCCCAAATTATTATATGTAATTCGGTGGCTTAGGAACATACTTTGGCAACATATTTCATGTCACTGTCATTCATAAGAGGTATTGCAATGATAGGAACACAATTGTTTTTGTTTTTGTTTTTGTTTTGAGACAGGGTCTCTCTGTCACCCAGGCTGGAGTGCATTGGCGCGATCTAGGCTCACTGCAACCTCTGCCTCCTGGGTTCAAGTGATTCTTCTCCCTCAGCCTCCTGAGTAACTGGAATTATAGGCACCCACAGCCATGCCCAGATAATTTTTTTGTATTTTTAATAGAGACAGGTTTTCACTAGATTGGCCAGGCTGATCTCGAACTCCTGATCTCAGGTGATCCAACTGCGTCCACCTCCCAAAGTGCTGGGATTACAGGTGGGAGTCACCTCGCCTGACCAGGAATAGAGTTTTTAGAGACAGACTGCCTGGGGTCCAACCCTAGTTCTCCCACTTACTTACAGTATGGCTATGGGCAAATTATTAAAGCTTTCTGTTATTAAGAAAGTCAATGGTAGCTTGATGGAGATAGCATTGAATCTGTACGTTACTTTGGGCAGTATGACCTTTTTCACAATATTGAATCTTCCTATCGATGAACATGGGATGTTTTTCCATTTGTTTGTGTCCTCTCTTATTACCTTGAGCAGTGGTTTGTAGTTTCCCTTGAAGAGGTCCTTCACATCCCTTGTAAGTTGCATTCTCAGGTATTTTTTTTCTCTTTGTAGCAATTGTGAATGGGAGTTTACTCATGATTTGGCTCTCTGTTTGTCTATTATTGGTGTATAGGAATGTTAGTGATTTTTGCACATTGATTTTGTATCCTGAGACTTTGCTGAAGTTGCTTATCAGCTTAAGGAGATTTGGGGCTGAGACGATGGGGTTTTCTAACTATATAATCACTTCATCTGCAAACAGGGACAATTTTACTTCCTGTCTTCCTATTTGAATGTCCTTTATTTCTTTCTTTTGTCTGATTGCCCTGGCCAGAATTTCTAATACTATGATGAATTAGAGGAATGAGAGAGGGCATCCTTGTGCCGGTTTTCAAAGGGAATGCTTCAAGTTTTGCCCATTCAGTAAGATATTGTCTGTGGGTTTGTCATAAATAGCTCTTATTATTTTGAGATATCTTCCATCAATACCTAGTTTATTGGGTGTTTTTAGCATGAAGAAGTGTTGAATTTTATCAAAAGCCTTTTCTGCATCTATTGAGATAATCATGTAATTTTTGTCATTGGTTCTGTATATGTGATGTATTATGTTTATTGATTTGTGTGTATTGAACCAGACTTGGATCCCAGGGATGAAACCAACTTGATCATGGTGGATAAGCCTTTTAATGTGCTGCTGGATTTGGTTTGCCAGTATTTTATTGAGGATTTTCACATTGATGTTCACGTTCATGTTTGGCCTGAAATTTTCTTTGTGTGTGTGTGTGTGTGTGTGTCTGCCAGGTTTTGGTATCAGGATGATGTTGACCTCATAAAATGAGTTAGGGAGGAGTCCCCCTTTTTCTATTGTTTGGAATAGTTTTAGAAGGAATGGTAACAACTCCTCTTTGTACCTCTGGTAGAATTCAGACGTGAATCTATCTGGTCCTGGGCTTTTTTTTTTTGGTTGGTAGGCTATTAATTACTGCTTCAATTTCAGAACTTTTTATGGGTCTATTCAGGGATTCCACTTCTTCCTGATTTAGTCTTGGGAGGGTGTATGTGTCCAGGAATTTATCAATTTCTTCTAGATTTTCTAGTTTATTTGCATAGAGGTGTTTACAGTATTCTCTGATGGTAGTTTGTATTTCTGTGGGATCAGTGGTGATATCCCCTTTATCATTTTTTATTGTGTCTATTTGATTCTTCTCTCTTTTCCTCTTTATTAGTCTGGCTAGCAGTCTATCTACTTTGTTAATCTTTTCAAAAAACAGCTCTTGGATTCATTGATTTTTCTGAAGCGTTTTTCATGTCTCGATCTCCTTTAGTTCTGCTCTGATCTTAGTTATTTCTTGTCTTCTGCTAGCTTTTGAATTTGTTTGCTCTTGCTTCTCTAGGTATTTTAATTGTGATGTTAGGGTATCGATCGATTTTGGATCTTTTCCACTTTCTC